TTGTCGTTGCGATTCTTCACTTTTTTCGTTTATACCTATACGTTCATTTACAGAGCGGGTCAATTTTTTAAAAATTGAGTTGTGAAACCTCTAAGAAGACACAATGAAAAGTTACTATGGTTCTATGTTTTTATGGACCGTTTAATATGCCTTCGTTGGGTATTTTCTTTTGCCCTTTCATCCCAGTGATACCAACTTGACCAGGCATTCATATTATTTATTGAACTGTATACACAAAATACTGTTCAATACTATGACTAGCTTTTTATTGTCCGTATTACAAAAATAAGGTAGGTACCTATAGCCATAGTGTAAATGGTATAGCTCATAACAGATCCCTGAGGGGTTCCATTTTCCATCGTATGGACTTGAGATAGGGTGTCTTGTATTCTTGTCCGAAATGTGCGTTGCAAATTTATCATAAATAGACCCTTAACTCTTAAACCCGATTTATTCGTTACGTCGTTATATAATGGTTATATCTCCAAGTCATGGTCATAAACCTGTTCAGATCCAAAAATACTGTTACCATTGTCGATGTAAAAATGTATTTTGAATGTTATTTTCTAGATTGACGAGATGTTCAGTGGTTTAGTGCTTCTGAAAACGATGACGCCCCCTCTGATATTTGAAAGCAATAATCTAGTTTCAAGTACCCGCATCTCTTCTTCCAAACGGCTGAAGTATGTGCTGCACTACTCATTGAGTAGACACAGTTACCCGTGAAGATTCCATACTTTGCCATATTATTCTACGTGAATTTACACGTGTTTTCTTAGAACGTATTAGGTTTTTATCATTGTGCGATGTAATGACACCATTTTTTTGACGAGTAGGTTTACTAATTCGACCAGTATAGCCATCATGTGCCATCAATTTCTGAATGTGAGTTGAAGTCGCCTACTAACAATAACAGCTTAGGGAGTTGCTTTAAAGCATTGTTCACATCGAATCCGGACCTTCCAAAAGTTACTATATAATTAATTGGTAGAAAAAAACCAATTATGCCAAAAACAAAAGTACTGCCTCAATCAGCCCAAACGAGAGTTGTGGATCTGTGTGCTTGTATGAAAGGTTACAGTCGTGCTTTTAAACACTTCTGTATGTAAAACTCGGAGGTCATTGTTTCAAATGTGACCAACACTCTGCTCTTGAGTCCGCCAAATCATTTACTTGGGGGAGAATTTGCCGAGCATTTTGGATTTATATTTTGCATCGACACCGCTATGAATTCGTGAATATAGACCAAGAGCCAGTGACCAAATTTAGGTTGTCATTTTAAAAGTCTTGAAATTACACACAGTAAATCCCCTATATCTATTGAATATCAAAAGTCCCCTCCTGGCAGCCCTCTGTGGTCGGGGTGAACTACCACAGCCAGAAACAAATTCTAGCACTAACAATCTGTCAGAGGGAAAAAGTGTCCATACGAGAGCAATTAAGGAATTAAGGAATGACAACCTGCAGATTAAAGATAGAACATGGTTTAGGGTGTTGTAATGATTCAAAATCTCAGTAGCCGTGTATGAATATGTTTGAAGTGCATGTCGAGCATTTATCTGTGCATTGATTTTGCTAAGAGGGTAAAATAATATTTATAAGTATACCATTCTGTCATGTCAATACGCGAAGAGGGATAATAGAAAGGGGAGAGCAAAATGAGGTATTTTGGCGGGGGTAAAAAGGGGAATGGGGGGAGGCGAAGAAGGAAGAAGGAATACCGGATAGAGTGGAAGCGGAGGGAAAGAAAATGACAGTGATGACTATATACAACAAATAAGAAATGAAAGGCTTAAAAAATCAAATAGAACATATGGTAGAGGAAAAGGAGAAGAAACAGGGAATAAAGGCAATTGGGTAGAAATGGGAAGAAGAACACAGGAAATAAAATCAGAAGATAAAGAAGGCAAGATCGCGGGAGAAGTTTTATTGGAATGATCATAAAGGAGAGGATGGAGAATTCTGAACGCAAATATGGAGAGAGATAGGGACGGGAGATCGGTAATTGATTATATTTAGTAAATAAAGAAATACCGGAAGAAATAGAAGAATTTAAGGTAGGAACAGAGATAGAATCCTATGAAAATGTATCCATTTTTAGCGCATTTCCACAAAAATAAAAAAAAATGCGCTATTGTGGCCACTTTGTCCGTCCGTCCGTCCGTCCGTCCGCTCGTTTTGCGACGCTACTAGTTCTTTATCTTAAGAGCTATTGTTCTACTTTTTTCGCTATTTGGTTCGTTATGGTGTCGAGTCTTGTACCAAGGAAGGAATTTTTTCTGTACCGCTTACAAAAAAAGTTATTGTAAAAAAAACAAAAAACCGTTTTTACATGTTCCATAATTTTACACTTTTGCCGTTTATTAACGATCCTAGAGATCGTTTATAATTTTGCATTGCTATCTGTCGCCTGCCGATTGGTCTCTCCGTCTGTTCCTTTGTCTGTCTGTCCATCTATCTGTCCGTGTGAACGATAACTTTGTTTAGAAATGTTCGATTCGCTTTTACATCTCCGTTAGTTATGAACTGAATTGCATGAAATTCAATATGGGCATAGCTTTAGCCATATAATACGCAATGCCAAAAGTTGAATCGAATCGATTCAAAATTACAGTGCCCTTTTCGCATCTCGACCATTTATAAACCGAATTGCAAACTTTTTTACTTATAAAAGTATTTGAATGAAATTTGATACATAGGCACTTGGAATAAAGGAAAATCACACGCCAATGTCAAAATTTGGTTTTGCGCATGCGCAGTGCCAACTTTTTTATTTATGGAAGAATTTAAACGAAATTTGATACATAGGCACTTGGGATAAAGAAAATCAAACGCCAATTTCAAAATTTGGTTTTGCGCATGCGCAGTGCCAACTTTTTTATTTATGGAAGAATTTAAACGAAATTTGATACATAGGCACTTGGAATAAAGGAAATTCAAACGCCAGTTTCAAAATTTGGTTTTGCGCATGCGCAGTGCCAACTTTTTTATTTATGGAAGAATTTAAACGAAATTTGATACATAGGCACTTGGGATAAAGGAAAATCAAACGCCAATTTCAAATTTTGGTTTTGCGCATGCGCAGTGCCAACTTTTTTATTTATGGAAGAATTTAAACGAAATTTGATACATAGGCACTTGGGATAAAGGAAAATCAAACGCCAATTTCAAAATTTAGTTTTGCGCATGCGCAGTGCCAACTTTTTTATTTATGGAAGAATTTAAACGAAATTTGATACATAGGCACTTGGGATAAAGGAAAATCAAACGCCAATTTCAAATTTGGTTTTGCGCATGCGCAGTGCCAACTTTTTTATTTATGGAAGAATTTAAACGAAATTTGATACATAGGCACTTGGGATAAAGGAAAATCAAACGCCAATTTCAAAATTTGGTTTTGCGCATGCGCAGTGCCAACTTTTTATTTATGGAAGAATTTAAACGAAATTTGATACATAGGCACTTGGGATAAAGGAAAATCAAACGCCAATTTCAAAATTTGGTTTTGCGCATGCGCAGTGCAAACTTTTTTTATTTATGGAAGAATTTAAACGAAATTTGATACATAGGCACTTGGGATAAAGGAAAATCAAACGCCAATTTCAAAATTTGGTTTTGCGCATGCGCAGTGCCAACTTTTTTTATTTATGGAAGAATTTAAATGAAATGTGATACATAGGCACTTGGAATAAAGGAAAATCGAGCGCCAGTTTCAAAATTTTATTTTGCGCATGCGCAGTGCCAACTTTTTTATCTATGGCACCATTTAAGTGAAATTTGATACTTAGGCGCTTGGAACAAAGGAAAATCTAACATTAGTTTCAAAATTTAGGTTTGCGCATGCGCAGTTCCAACTTTCTTATTTAGAAAAGCATTGAAATGAAATTCTTCTCATAAACTGAAATTGAAGTAGCACGTCAAAAATGGATTGCCCATGTACAACGCTATCTTTCATATTTGTGGCCGGATTTTTACGATTTTAACAGAAGTTGCATCTTATAAATGGGAAATGAATACAAGTGGAAATGCGCTTTATGTAAATCGTTTACGATTACTTTTTAACTTGTTTATTTTTTATACCTGTTCAAAAAAAATTAAAACGAAATCGGCGCAAATTTCGGGTTTTCTGATAGTATATCATCGAAAGTAATCGGCATGTTCTGGTTTACTGTAAAGTGTGATAATAACTCTTTCATTGCACAACTTTTCGCTAATTTGACCGTCGTCGTATCTTTTATGGTTTCCGAGATTCCCATGATAGACATCCTTATCTTGAACACTGTATACTATATAGTGTTTCTGAAACACTATAAGGGCGCAAAGATTTTTGTTTACGGCGCTAGATAAAAGGTACGATGTAGTAGAAAATTTTTGACATGTTTTGACCAAAATCCACGTGGTCGCCGAAAATAGATCAAATTCATGTTTTGGTCATTGAGATCATGCTCTTGGTCTTTTTCCCAACGATCTTCGTGCATAAATAACGAGTTTGAAATGTTTTGATCAAAATCCATGTGGTCGTCAAAAATGCATCAAATTTATGTCTTCGGCATTGAGATATTGCTCTTAGTTCTTTCTCAGAGATCTTGGTGCATAAATAATGATTTTGACATGTTTTGATCAAAATCCAAATCTAGAAAGCAGAGAACCGTGCGGCTATCCTCGACCGAGGCGGAGTACATGGGAACGTCTGACGCTACCTCAAATGATTCATGGTGTAGTCAGGACTAGACCGCCTTGGCGAAATCGTTGTGTACGAGGACAACATGGAAGCTGTCGAGGAACCCTTTGTTTCACGCTCGAACGAAGTACTTCGTTATTCGCTACCATTTCATCAGAGAAGCGCTGCAGAAGGGAATGTTCAAGGTCGAACATTTTGCATTCCGGGACATGGTGGCTGACGTTTTTTTAATAATAATAATACGAACGACGTACAGACGCTCTAGACCTGAGTTCTGACAAGAAACACCGACCATAATAATAATAATACGCAATAAGTATCCGCTTAAAACAACATTTTATTAATTGATAATAAAAAAAAGTTTTTAAGTAACAACAGACGCCAAACAATTAATTACTCATTTACATCCAAATTTTCTAATGACACACTTTTGGGCGCGACAGTTTTGATTGTTTTACTCAAGTTGAAAGCATTCTTTATTTCCTTCTTGTATTCCCGAAAAAATATTTTTTTATCTACTCCTATTCTGTGATACACATCCACCCCTAATTCAAAAAATGAAACTACAAAAGAGAAAATAACCCCAACTATCGTGATCCAAAATATACCGGCCATGTGATGGAGTGTTAATGGAGGCGCTACTGTATCAGGCGGGGGCTCCTGAAATTATTACATTAACAGGGTGACAATATTTCTACGGTACTACTTGCTTTGCATAATTTGGATCCCAATGCTTCTTCCCACCACTTACGCTGCAATTGGTCAATCACGCCCTTTTGCTGTAAAAGTAAAATAGCTGAACTAAGTCGATTTCGATATCCGGAATCTACGAAAGTGATATGTGAAACAATATTAGATAGGTACACCTCCTCCAACCTTTTCTTAATGCAATCCCAAAATATCGTTCGTCCAATCTTTCTCCTACGCTAATGAATTCACAGACCACATTAGCGGCATACTGAATAGTAACAGATTCCATAAAAAACGCGTGATTTCCCTCAAGTACCTTCACTGAACCTTCAAAAGCGTCTTCTGCCATATGTTCTGGATGGGAGTTCATGTAGTCACCAATCTGACTGAATACTGGATCTTTTGATCTCTGGAAAAGTGTCCAATAATATGACAATAAAGATGAAAATTTCCGCTTTGGGTATACCGTATACCTGAAAGAACTTATGCGTTGCTTCATTCGTAACAGCGCCATATGTAATACCGAGCTTATCCGCTCTTTTGACCAATTCCTCTGCGTTACTAAATGGCAGCTCTAATTTCTCTGTTGTTAATGACGCAGCTAATTGAGCTTTATAGAACGATACAATTACCAAAATAAAGAATGCGAAAAAACTCGATAGGATCCTTGTAGACGTAGCGCTGCACACAAGCATAATAGGTACATCAATTACTTCATGAGTACCTACTGCTTCCTTACCGTGGTGCTATCTCCGCTCCTTGCTGCATAAAGCATCCCAACACGAACCAAAATGAATTTCTTAAATGGAATTGGTTAACGAAATATTTTGGCTGCTTTATACACCGATCCCAATTGTCCCATTCGGGTTGGCAAACTCTCGCCATTACGTAAAGGCCAACAGACACCGTAAAATACGAAATGCCGATCCAAAGCCACACTTCAGGATGAAAAGGATGAGCAAATGAAAAAAATACTGGTACTGGCTTTGACGGTCTCACGTACAGTATTTGAATACCTAAAAACTAAAAATTGTACCTATCCATTTTAGTTATTACTCTCAGAGCTAGCAATGTTCAAACTCGAGTTTTTAGCGCGGCTAATTCTTATGAAGCCTTTGCATAAATCAGTTGGTAATTGGTATAAGGCCATTGTTGCTATAGGAATCATTTAAAAAATAATGAATGTGTTAAAAAGGAACAAATAATATAGGAAACTAAGAACAAATGGGTGATCAAAAATGAGTGGCGGTCGAGTCGCCTTTGAAAGTTCAAGTTGAGTACGATTTCCGATGTAAGGAACAATTCCAAAGGTGACTCGACAGCAACTCATTTTTGATCTCATAGTACTTTCAAATTATGTTTATATCTTTACTATTCGAATTGAAGATCGGAGACTTATCCCTGAAAACCTGAACAGGTTCTTAAAATAACTATTAACGTCGACCTATTTAGTTTTGAAAGTAACAAGTGCACTCAATTAAAAAACTATACTGTATTCATTTTAAAAAGGTAGCGGTAGAAAACATAGGGAAGCTTTCACCTTCACTGTGATTGGTTAAAACATGAGTCAGTATTACAATGAAACATAAAAAAACTGGTGAATTTTGTAAGGTGGTAGTTTATGTTGCCAACTAAACTGCCAAAGTGTCATTAGCTGTTATTGTCAGAGGTTTATTTCTGTTCGCAGTGCTGAATATTTCTACTTTACAATAATTTGGTGCCGTTTTATATTTTTCCCGTGTGTGTTTATCTTCAAACACAGCGCCATCTACTATCTTCTTATAATGAATGCAGTATAGCGTCTAAATTTAACAACAATAAATTCGCGTACCGTGAAGATCATACCAGTGCTTGTTCTGTTTTGGTTTGCGGTGTTTGATGAACATTGAGTTTTTTTGGTATATTCAATTTAGGAAGTGTTTGGGGAAAGTTCGAGTTTAATTTTAGATTGAAGGTGTTTGTCTTTAAAAATTTTGTTACGTGCGTTTATGAGCCTAGTAAATTTTGAGTCTCTTGGTAATTTGGGCAATCCGAGGGGTTATTTTGTGAAAGTGACTAAATTCAGTTATTTTGGTCTTTTGAAGTCATTTTCACTGATGAATATTGGGGTGACAGCTTCATTTATTTTGATAAATAGTAGCCGTGGCATTCCTAGTGGCATTTCAACATTTTTTATTTGTGTGAGGACCATAGAGCGCAAAATGATATATTGTCGATTCGTCGCGCGGCAATCGACAATCAATTTGCGCTCGAATTACACACAAGATTTTTTCTACAATCGAGCAGTTCACATATTTCCAAAAATTTAAATGTTACACTCAAATTATTCAATGCTCAAATGAAAGACGTCATTTACTCGTTGTCATTGCATTGGATACTCTGAGCAAAGAGTAATGTAGTTAATAATAGGAAGAGCGAGCGTTTTTTTTTATTTTGTCGCTTATAAGCAACAAAGTGACATTCCTCGAAAAAGATGACATTTGCGTTATCAAATACGAGCGCAAATGTCTACTTTGGATATCGATTGTACAAAAAATATTGTATAAAAAAATACTTAATTCGGTTGCATTACGCTCCGGCTCGGAAATGAAATCAGTTTTGTAGAATAATGATGCAGCTTTTATTATTATAAATATCATACTTACTGTACTATGTATTTAGTCAGGATAAAGTTTGTATTGAACGATCAACCTCGTTGCCACAAAAAAAGTGTTACCTACTTTAACTTCTAATAAAACAATATGCTATTTTAAATAAATTTGGGAAAATAGGATTAAGGGTAATAGTTATTTACATAAAAGTCAGGAAAATGATGCATTACTGGCGAAGAAATATTGAAGGAAGACGAGTACCTTACTTTAATTTCCGAGTCAGATAGTGTCATTTGAGTGACGAGTTTCGTATTAAATTTTACCCGAAATCGTGTTTTAATATAACAGTTCAATTTTTATATGGAACTTTTGATTCATGTCAACCTGTCGCAGTGATGACAGTAATTATTATAGACATTTACAAATGTCACAAACGCGGCCGGTAAAGTGACATGTGCGGCTAGTAAAGTGACAAGCGGCAGGAACGTAGTCTGCTCAGTGCTCTGACTGTCATGGAAACTAAAATTTCTTGACAGAAAGTAGGCATGAAAATGAAGGTTTCAGGACGATTTTGGGTAAACATTTTTGATATACACACGCGCTTTTTTGCTATGGCGCAAAATGACTTATCTTCTACATCTTCTAATTCCATAATAGTTGTTCTAAATTAACTAACAAAACAAGTTCGTCTGATGTACAGTGACCTTTCGACTTTAAATTTCCGTGGCAAACAAATGAAAGAGCTAGAGAAAAACAAAAAGTCGTCTTTGCAAGATAGGATTTCGATTTTATTTTTGGGGTTAGGAGACATCTTATTACACGAGTTGTAGACGAACTTGTTTTTGAAGATTATGTCCACTCCGTTGTGAACATAGGATAGGGTAAGAAAGCGATATTCCTGGCGACCTTTTTCTCCGTATTACGAGGTTTTGAGGTGACGATTTGTAGCCTGGTGGATTTAGTGTGTTGCTGCGCGTTGTAATTCGTTTGAGCAAGTATTTTTATTTTATTAAATTTACAGTTTTTGAAGCTTCTCCTAGTTAGGTACATAATTATGCTAGCTCCTTAGAAAATAAGATTACCCCAAATCGTAAAAAGGTGAGGTGAGTGTATTGGTATACTCGTATGTGGAAAAAGAAGAAGACATTATTTTTTGATTTAATATATTTAAGCATTTCGTAAATTTTGGGTTTCATGATCGACCAGATTGAGCAGTGATTTCCTGTATTAGGGGAGGTTGAGTCGAATCATCTATCTCAAATCAAAGAACAAAAAAAAACTATTCCCTTTGGGGAGTGTAAGGTAATTAAGCTAAACTACCCGTTACTTTTATGAGCCCAGGGCGAGCCGAGATGCCAAAACCCAGAGATTCAGAGAAGTTGAAATATAGGATCGATTATCTTCTCATACGAACGGCTATCATATCGCAGTTTACGAAAACTGAGTTATGACACCCAAACCATGAATCGTCATTAGAACTACGTTAATATAGATGGGAGCCCATGCCCAACAAATTGGGCGCAGTTGGGTAAACGCAAATAAAAAATATGAAAAAAAAGGCAAGGTAAGCCCATTCAACATGTCCAGTCGCATCAAAATTATATCTCTTGGAAATTTAAAAAAAAAAACTTAATTTGAAGCTGTATGTTTGCGTACAATAGATAGGTAACTGATTTTTCGCGCCGAACCAAACCATACTGTTTTCTTTTTTATTTTTCACGGTTTTTTCCATGACTCCCACTATATGAAAAATTTTAGAGTGAATTTTTAGTTTCGCCGCCGTTAGTACGTATCTTCCTAATCTATCCTGCTAGAAAAGGTAACAGCAGGGGAAACAGCTACCACCACTAATGGCGTCATCATACCCACTTACATATTATGCAAAGGCATCATATGAATAAAAGTATCAGTCATCGTCATATAATGGAATTATTGCTAACTCTTAGTCTATGGGAAGAGAGATGTGGTACCTAGCGACATAAAAGGAACCGTGAAGTCTACGTACTCTTCTCTCTCTTTAGTAATCGCCATATCCCCAATGGCTATGTCACCTTTCTGAAAAAGTATAAAATGGTTATCTATAGGTACAAGTAATCATTTGTACGTTACCCCACTCAAAATATCACCAATCATTCCATTCCAAGATTGTGTTACAGGATCATAGTCACCATTTTTGTCGTCCTCATTGCGGATCAATGTGTAATTAAAACCCTCTAGCTTAGAGATTTCGGAAATGATGTCGACTACGAAACCTTCAAATTGGTCATTTCCCAGCAAGACCGTGCTGCTGTTCTTATAGAAGGTGTAAGGTTCCGACTAAAACCGATAATTCTAATGGGAACCTTAAAAGTCATGTTTGCAGCTTTCCAGCTAATAATTTATTTCTTACCCAACTAATCATTACGTTCAAATGCTTCTCTTTTAAATTATCTTTGAACATTGACGAATTATCCATTTTTATTCCATCTTTGGGCGACCAAGTTCCAATTTTGGCAATTCCTCCTTCTTTAAGCTGAATGATGTTTAAATTGAATTCGCTACGAAATCCTTTGTGGTCGAACTTTATTAATCCAGTTAAACCTGTCATTGTCCTCTGTAGGTAAATTATGAAATAGTAATTGCAATTTTGGGTTGTGAATTACCATTTTTAGAAAATTATATATTGTACTTCCGTACGCCCAGTTATCAGTTGCGTTACACGACAACTGTAACACAGTAAAACTGTGCATATCTTTAAGTGTCTCTGAAAAGAGATTGACCGCATCAATTAGTAAAGCAGATGATGCTCTAAGCTTCCAAGCTGTTATGTGAGGAGGATGAGTCAGCATCTTCCTTTTTTTCTTGGCTAATTGAATTTCTTGAGCAGCTTCGATTACTAAAGGAGCCGTTGGATCTATGAGCTGAACCTGACCGTAATCGCAAAATCGAAATTATATTTTGTCAAACACGTTTACTTACCCCAAATATGTTTGCTTCACTATACTGGTACAGGCTAAGATCGATAGTGTGTAAATCAAAATTTAAAATAATGTAATTATATTTTATTGTCATTAGTCCAACTTCCTGAGCTTGTTGTAAAACGTCACTTAGGTTTTCAATGGAACATATTACAATAAATTTGGTTGCTTTTGACTTTCTGACATCTTTCCAAACATTTCTGAAACAATGAATATCTTTAAATTTTTAATCGCCATCATGTTAATTACCTGTAACCAGAAGTCTCGTTTTGGTGCAATAAGTGTATGTCAACTGTAGCCCCAGTGTCCGTAGAAACCTTTAATACTTCTAAAAAAGAATCTACATGCGACATCTCATACAACAACGCAAAATTCTTCCACTTAAAGTATTGAACCAAATCGCTAAATGCTCTCACAACTGTGGAGCGATGTGGATACATACTGATTGAACAACATTCCGGGTCACTCTCACTACTTGCAGTAATCTTTATAACTGGTATTTCTTTTGAGTCACATATGGACTGAACGATGTCCTCACTGCTCTCCGATAAAGATGTGAAAACTGCCACAACTCCACTTCTAAGCATGGAACACATCATCTCCATTGCTGCCATGGGCATACTCCAGTTGATGCCAACGATGGATTTGTGCACAGTGTCAATTACATATTCGGGTTCAATGTAAGCAAGTGTAGCTTTGAGGTGACGGCCATAGTGGGACTGTTTCTTGTTAGCCATATCCACTGCCACATTAAATACAAGCAGTTCTTCTTGGTCAAAGCCCTCAAAAAGACCGCCTGAACATACAGCTTCAATTAGAATATGAAAAGCATATAGACTATAAAAACATATTTTTTTTTTTTTTTTTTTATTTTTTTTTTGAGTTGGATCCATCGTTCCTCGAAATGGGGGTTGAAATATATTATGTTATCAAAAATCTCTAAACCTTCCCCATATAGTTTTATTCGTTGAAGTTTTTAAAAATAACAGCGACTATAGTTTCGGCGTACTGCCATCATCAGGCGACTAGAAGTGTATCACAATAAAGCAATGGCCAGTTTATAATTAAAAAAACAACATGTTCGTCTTATCCGTCTTCAACGTTTGTAATTTACCGTTTTCCTGTTAACTTTCACAGTAAGTACTAGCTCTTAATGTTTTCAAATTTGCTATATTGTGATACACTTCTAGTCGCCTGATGATGGCTGTACGCCGAAACTATAGTCGCTGTTATTTTTAAAAACTTCAACGAATAAAACTATATGGGGAAGGTTTAGAGATTTTTGATAACATAATATATAAAAACATAGACCGGGTAGGGAGTTATTTTTATTTATTAACGATCAGGATCGTTAATAATTTTTTATTTCTGTCTGTCTATCTGTCCGTGTGTCTGTTCGCCTGTCCGTCCGCCTGTCTGCCCGTCTGTCTGCTCATCTGTCTGCCCTCGTCGGTCTGTTCGTCCGCTCCTCCGTCTGTCCCGATATCTTAGTGTAGACGCGTCCGATCGCTTTGAAAATTGATACACATGTTCTTCAGGATATAAAAAAGGTCGCTATTGTTTTTGGGCTACGTAGACTAACGGGCCCAAAACCTGCTCAAACCTATAACAAAACAAGGGTTTCCTTTAAATTCTTGCTACAAAGAACATATGAATGTCCGGTTTTCTGTATTAGTAAAAAGTTCCCCAAACTTCAGACAACTATGCTGATATGAATGTAAAAAAATTGCGCATGCGCAACCCAACTTTTGTAATTGATGCGCAATGACAATTTTCTTATTTGTTAAGGTATTTAAATTAAATTTTGTATGTACGCACATCGAATAAAAGTAAAACTAATGCCGATTAAAAAAGATTTTTTTCTCCAACCACCTGAATAAGACGCTATTTTGTGACAGTGTTCGGTACCTAAAATTGACGTTTTGCGGATTAATTGCTTTCACCATGGCAACTGTACAAAAAGTGGATACTTTTGGTCCTAGTACCAAAAAGAAATTGACCTTGAAAGTTGGCCAATTAAAAAATTACAATCACGGAGATATGTCAATTGACATCGTTTTACATTGCAGGTTGTAAGATATTTCTATACATACAAATCAAATATTTTTGCATATTCAATGCAAATAATGATGTTACCTATACGTAGGTACATGTATTGAAAATGATGTAGCTCTCTATTTTTATTTAAACCATGTGTAACGTAATTTACATATTCGGTGAACGTAATTTTAATACGTATACAACCCGCCGTCGCGCGTAACGCCATCTACTTCAGACCCATTGCACTATTATCTGTCATTTTGAATTCAAAATTTGGAAAAGTTAATTGCAATTAATTTTAATTAAAAAACTGTATGGTAAGTATTTTATTTCAATACAAAATATAACAATATTAATTGTGTATACAATAAAATGACTGAAACTGATAGCGACATGGATTGCACTCCGCCAGAGATTATAGAAACGGCAGAAGATGCTACCTCAAGATTTGCTCCCTACTTAGTCGCGAGAGGTGAGAAGTAAGAAGTAAGAACGAATAGGTTATAAGTTAACCTAAAAACTAGAGTGGCATGACACGTGAGGACAAGAAAGCAGAAGTTCTTATACTAGTAGTGAAACTGTGACTGAATCTAAATTCGAATATAATTTGAAGTACAGGGGGTTGGAGAAAAAATTTTATGTTTTATTCGTACAAAAAATGCGTTTTCGGGACTCGGAAGGTTGCTGGACTCCGCTAACGCGTCGTCCAGCAACTATCTTCCTCGTCCCGAAAACTGAAATTTTTTGTACTAATGAAACAAATAACTATTTTTACAAGCTATCTATCTGGTGGGGCAGAATCAACCTCTTAAGGTGTGTTGTAAAAATGATGTATGTGTGAAGATCTCGAGGATGGTTCGGTATTCAGTTGTATCGGATTTTTATCTTCAATTATATAGTTCAGGCCTGAGTCAAGGAAGCTGTCGCGGAATCGTATATGTTCTTGTTTTAACCAAAACTTTTCAAAATCGTTAACTAAACACCAATTTCGCTAGTAAAGTAGTCCACATAACACACTTTAGCTTGATACGAATAATTTATACAATTCATTTTAGGTACCTAATCATTTGTTGCCATCAGGCTTATATAGGTACTAGCATAAAATTTTGGAAAATACAGAGGGCTGTTCGTGGTGACCTCTTTAAAGAATGCCACGAAATATTTCCACCGCGTTTTTCAAAATGAAGTTAGTAACATCCAAAAATACTCTAACATTATTTTTATAACAGTAGATACTAATGAAATATGTAGATCGTATAATATGCACTCAATTTAATTATAGAGAAGGCATTACTGGCAAAAACAAAATGTAATTGCGCTTACCAACCAAAGTACTATCAATCGATACACCTCCTTCATTTGAACTTATTTTTATACATAAAACTGCAATAAGGATAAACACTTTTACAAACATGATAATCTATAAAAATGTCAATAACCGCACTAGCTTATGTTTAGGCATTTTACTTCGATGAATATTTTTGAGGGAGATTCTATTTGCGAAACAGAAGCACATGTTGTTAAATATAGACTGCATTCACCAAGTAGGAAACCACCTTATTTTGCGTGTCATTTTGTTTAATTTATGTCACACCACCAACTGTGTCAGTCTAAAAACGTAGTTGGGAAAGTAGCTCAGAAAAGTATAACAGTAGGTAAAAAAGGTGTAAATAAATTAAATAAATGTCAAATTTATATCACTGTCTACAATCCACAATCACTAATTAATTTTCAGTTTATAAATATAATCTGCATGCATGAATTGTGACAAAGCTAATCCTTTAAACCCAAGCATTCTACGATTATTTCTTCGAGTTATACCATTGATTCGTAGTATATAGTCAATGGTCATACCAAAGAGTCCTCGTGTGAGATCGAATGGACTTCAGCGCATCAGTAATCCATTAGCCAGTTTTGACTCCACCATCAATAAGATCTTGTTGAAGGCTACCACATTCTCTTTGCCGGTACCCAGTTCCGACATCCCATTCACCCGCAATTCGAATTTGATGTTTTGACTCCACCATCTTTAAGATCTTGTGGGGGATAACCACATTCCCTTTGGAACCGACTGGCCAACCAGCCGACCGATCGAACAGGCAAAGTGAATACATAAGCGCTACTTTTTTCAAAGACGCGATAAAAAAGTATCGACTTTATCAATTAGGCCAAAAATGGCATACCTATTATTTTGTTGAGATTCTCAGCGGGTTGTTCGAAATGCACAAACGTCCTGAGAAAGGTTCGCTCCCAGGAACCATGTCGTCTTACACTGAATTTTATGAATTCTACTTAAAGGTCTCAACAAAAGAAACTTTCTACCAACTACCGTCTTAATACTTTATGATTTCTCATCGAAAGGAGGTGGGGGGGGGGGGGGGGACTAGTTTTATCCTTTCTCTGGTACTCTAATGAAAGGTCTCAACGAAAGGAATTAATTTCTACCAACCATAGTCCTGCTCCCCAACCCCTTATCGTGATTGGATATAAATAATTCCTTCTCAAGAACAGATTGTTATTATTGAATTATCTGGACGAAGTCTACCCATTAAGCATCTACCAAGAATGAAAACGTCGATAAATATAGCATGCTACTAATAATAATAATATAATAATAATATTTTATTGTACTTATGTGATGCTTCACCAGCAAATAAAAAAATACAAAATATACAAATACAAAAATATAATTTTCAAATGTATAAAAGCGTTCATGACTAGCAGGTTTTTTACAAAAGACTTAAAAGCACAAAATGGTAGTTGTTGTATGTTTGATGGCAAACAGTTGAATAAGAAATTCGATTGGTACTGGACACCATCTTGGGATTTGCATAATCTGTAAAATTCATTTCGAATACTTGTTTTATTTCGGGTGTCATGTGCATGTATTTCACATTGACGTAGATTTTTTGAAATGTTACGTTTTGCATAGCAAACAGCCTCGAGAATATAGATGCTTGGAAAAGTTAGAATTTTAAGATTTACAAACTCCTTTTGGCAGTCTTCTCTATAACCCATTCTGCTTATCAGTCGAACTGCTCTACGTTGCAGCTTAAAAATACACCGCCAGTGTGGGCTGTGTCCCCAAGCAAGGATCGCATAAATGATATTGTACTATGAACAAATGCATAGTAAGCTGTCTTAATAGTATTTTGCAATGTACTGTACTGTTCCTTAACATATTCATTAGAAATATTGACTTATATAACTTTTTTGATACCTTACTACAATGGTTATTAAATTCTAGTTTACAATCAATAACACAGCCCAGCAAGAAATTCGTTTGAAGATTATCAGTCAAAGGGTTATCATTCCGCAAAGACAAAGTCAAGACCTTAGTTTTAGCCTGATTTAACCTTAAAGAGTTGTTAGCACACCATGTTGCGACAACAGTAATGCTGTTTTGTATATCCAAATATGACGAATTATAAACTACATTTGTGGAAATTAGTGTTGCATCATCGTCATATAAAATACACTGAACCTTAGCCGGTAGAAATTCCGGAAGGTCGTTGATATAAATTAAAAAAAGCAAGGGCCCGAGTATAGACCCTTGCGGTACACCTCGTTTAATTGGTAATTTCTTAGAAACCACCTTATTAAAGTTCACGCACTGGTATCTGTTAGCAAAGAGGGTTACTCTTTGCTGTTAGTAAGGAAGGACTTTATTAGAGACGCACTTTTATTACCAAACTTGTAAATTTGCAAAAGCTTTCGTATTAGGATTTCATGGTGTCTAAGCAATCGAATGCTTTAGATGAGGCCGGGACATTTCGCCGAATGCCCACAACGCCGACACGATTTTTTGAAGGTCCATATCGCCGACTAGGGACACTACGCCGACGGACACTACGCCGACCGTGCCCACATCGTCGACAAGTGTGCAAGGAACACAACGCCGACCATGCCCACTTCGCCGACGGACACTACGCTTTTTTCGAACTACAGACTCATACGAAAATTCTTAATCAAACTGGACGGAGTGTGAAGCAAAGCAGCTTTGGATATTAGGTTATTTGCAGGTTTAGGACATTTTTTTCAAACTTTTTAAAATGCAAACTCATACACTGGACAGAGTATGAGGGGCCTGGATTTTCGAACAGTCGGCGTTGTGGTCACGTTCGGCTTAGTGTCCCTTGCACACGTTTCGGCAATGTGGGCACGATCGGCGTAGTGTCCGTCGGCGAAGTGGGCATGGTCGGCGTTGTGTCCCTTGCACACTTGTCGACGATGTGGGCACGGTCGGCGTAGTGTCCCTAGTCGGCGATATGGACCTTCAAAAAATCGTGTCGGCGTTGTGGGCATTCGGCGAAGTGTCCTAGACCCCTTTAGATATATCCACAAACGCGGCGACCATATACCTACTGTTTTTTTCTCAAAACACTGTAGAACATTTGTGACCAGAGAGGTAATTGCATCAGATGTAGATCTGCTTTTCCGAAATCCATATTGATGATGGTAGAAGATGTCGTTACTCTCAAAGTAATTAGTAAGCTGTTTGCAGAGAATTTTTTCTATAATTTTACCAAAGATTGGAAGATTAGACATGGGTCAGCAACAGTGCTAAAGAAAAGATTGGAATCATCGCACAATAACGTCGAAAGTGGTTCTATATTACAGTCTTTATTCGACTTGATTAGAGTCCACATGGCTTTGGTGGAATTCACAGAATTCGTAATGAAGCTATCATTCGCCATTATTTTAGCAAGCCGGATCTGTTTTTTTGTAACTACCTGGTAGTAGGTAACGGAACCATTCTCAACTCATCACTCAAAATTTTGATGTACACCCCAATTCGATTTAGTAGTAAACGGATTCAAACGCTATGACAGAGAAAAAGAAAATTGGCTCTGTTTTCAGCCATGCTAATTACTTGTGGTCATTATTTTAGGTGCTTATATGTGCACGTGTTAAACAAGTAGGTAAAAATTGTGCACAACTCTTGTGCAGATAAAGCGCCTTTTTTAAACCGAAATAGCTTAGAAAATGGTTAAACCGTTAGCGGCGCCAAGTACCGATGCGAAGTAAGGAAGAATACCCAGGTTTACAAATAGGCAAAGAAGAAAATGAACCCTAAGTGTTCATGATGGACTTTGTAATTATTATGCGCTTTGTATAATTCATACCTTTGATTTGATCAAAATATACAATCTACCAAGTACAAAGGTATATTGCGTTTATTATGTATACGTTTATTAGCAGTACATTATCGACGAATTTAATACGAATAATGCGTAAAGATATTACTACAAATTCCATACGGGAAATTTAAACGTATTCAGTAAACGCATATAAATCGTATTATAAATGGGAATAATAAAAGCATAATATTCTACAAGAATATATCAATATCCGCCGGACATTTATGCGTATTATATATACTAGCATATGATTACGTTTTTTAAACGTAGGGTTTTAGTCTACTACAAACGCGTTATATACGGTAGGTATTTATAAAACTTCTACATTTTGTGAGACATTTTCAGATATAAGAGTCTGCATTGATGGCTTTACCACGCCTAACATGGGTCCATGAATCACCAGGCTCTGATATATGCCACACCATACCAAAATTTTAACTTAACTTCGGTCATTAAGACGGCTTAAAACTTTGGGTGGTCCACTTTTAGGTAAATTGATTTGATACAAGAAATGCCTTCCTCGCAATCTTTTATTGTCTGTTCGATTGTTGAAACCGAAATATCTAGCCGGCCCGTGCGGCACAGTTCAGTTAATCCGGGTTCGGGCATGGATATTTGTAAATGTATAGTGGGTTGGATTGGTAGAGCAGCCATGGCTAAAACCCCGCCCACTCAAAAATAAAAGCAAAATAAAAGAAAAAAATAAAATAATATCTTCCTATACTAACATCCTAACAATGTCGCGTTTAGGTACTCGCCCAACCAACTGATAAATTCCTCTACGAATATCAAGCTTGTATCTGTATGACATTATATTCACCTTTATTTTACACTAATGACATATTAAACTACAAGCAATTCATTAACTTTTCATTCCAATGCCAACTAGAAGCTCTTTACACATAAACATTTAAAGACCGCCCGGCATACATTCAAAATCCTCCGACACTCCATTCTGCAGATATTTGCACTGAAAGCTTCCAGTTCACCAATAAATATGTCTCGTTTAGTCGATTCATTTTGCCTGTGAGAGTACTTTCCTCTGATAAACCGTTTTCGATATATTCGCTCTTAAAGTTTTGAAATCACCAGTAGATATATTTCTTCCAGACGTCCCAATAGCCCTTTGTGAGTACCCTCTTCCGACAATCCGTTCTGGAGATGTAAGGGAATATATCTGATCACGATAAGGGGTCGAGGAGGAGGACTATGGTTGGTAGAAATTAATTCCTTTCGTTGAGACCTTGAATTAGAATACTATGAAAGATAAAATTAATTTCTAATTCCCTCCCTCAGGCTTCGTCACCCACTCATCTCGAAAAAGAGTCGCTACGAAATAATTCGTGGGCAGTCCTGAACAGTCCGCCACTCATTTTCTACTAACACAACTATTGCATCATCTATAACATGTAAATAAACGTATTTTGATTGATTGATTGCGTGTCGATTTTCATCTTTCTTTCTTTGATAAACCGTAACCAGGTACACTTCGTTTTATACAAACAGCTGCAAGGGCGAGTTACAACGCATGGAATTTTAATTGCCATCATCCGCTTGTATTGATTGGATTCATAATTTGGTGATTCCGCAGTAATTAGTGGAGGGAATTTCACCTATACTCTAGTGAGGATAAAAATTTACGTTCTTCCTTTCGTATCGTAAGTACCTACCGCCATTTGCATTTCGTGTATTGAGGTGTAGGTACCTTTCATTATGTTTCGGCTGATATTTGTCATTTGTGTACCGCAATTTCCATTAACAATTGCTGTTTCATCTACAATTAGCCCTCTTATTTAAGAGGTATGTGAATTTTAGGTAATCAAGGAAGGAGTTACCTTTGATTTACTTGTATTTGGCCCTATACGTGCGAATTTTTGTCCGGAATCTCAATTTATTTACAGAAAGTTTTTTTATAATTCAGTAAAGTTTGCTAACCGATCATTCTTGGTTGGGGGTTTGTTAAACTGGGGAAGTTCAAATATTGTATATAGGGATTAGGGGCACTACTATGATTTGTGAGTAACGTAAGTTATAATTTTTGAGTATTTAAGCAAGTTTGTATTTTGTGTGATACGCCATTCTCTTGTGGAAACAATTTTTATTTTACAATTTAAATTTGACAATAAACAGTAAGTATTCCTTTTAGTACCTACACTGATTTCACTGAATTAATCCACGATTGAGTGGAAGTTTTTATCTTGGATTTTATATTAAAGATTAGACCGGATATTGCAAAGGTACCTATATTTAAATCTGTGCTAATGTATTATATCTCGTGTATAAAATAAGTAATGACCATTGCATAAAAATGTAATTTATGTATTCATATTAGGGGATAATAAAAGTCCTCAAAGGCCACATTGACTTATTCCTATTCATTTATAAATACGCAAGTAATTGAGATGATCACGATCACCTAAGGACTTTGTGTTCGCATTTACTAACTGGAACAGCACGTAGGCACTTATTAAAGTTATGTTTTTATATATCTTTCCCAATAGAGACATTATAATCGCAATGAAAACTTTATTGAGCATTAAGGTGGCGGCAATAAATGAGACTATTGGACAGGAAACAGTCACCTCAGGGTTTGAATTATATTGCTTTTAACACATTCGTTTATCCTACGTTATCTAAAACAATAAAATTAAGACAACCACCTCGGCTTTTAAAAGGAGACCTAATCACAAATTTTTGCCGTTCTGATTTTATAATCACTTTTGATTGTATATTTTACAAAGTGTAGAAGCCTTTTTTGTAGATCTCATCAAAACACATGTTTTTTGTAATTAAAATTTCTCACCCTGATACTTTACTTTTAGAAAAAATGCAAATTTAGAAAAATAAAATAAATGGTTAAACTTTTCAATTCAAAACTTCTCAAAAACAAAGGAACTTACCAAAAATTATAATGAACTTTTTTGTAGAGTTTTTAAGCCATTTTAGTCAGTGTATGCGAAAAAAATTTTAAAAAAATGTATGGTTCTTTTAAACTTTTGACACCCTCAACAACCGTGAAGATGGTTACGGATCAAAACCAAAATTGGACGTTTTCGATTTCCCATATAACCCTATATGCACCCCAAATTTCTTCCAAATCGAATCAGGGTTTTTTTAGTTATCGTATTGTAGTGTACTTAGCTCCTAGGTTCTACGCTAACTTCACACTACAAGAACACGGAAATAGAGTCAACACGGTAACGTTTAAAAATGGCCACCAAAGTGACTATTCCCTCCAAAACTAACCAAGATCCCGCTTAAATTTGAAAAGTAACACGTGATCAAACATCTAAGGCAGGTCCCCCTTATGTTAGTAGTAAACAACGCTATGACCTGAAGCACAGTAGGGAAGGAACGTAAAATAAAACACTGAAATTGTGAAAAGTTTGTTTAATAATTATCGTGGTTATTATGCTTGTAAGAGCTCGGAAATTTAAGTCGAAATAAATTACATTGCAAAAATAAACTTTGAAAATGGTAGTTCACCGAATAAAAATAGAAATAGGCTGGGAAAAAATAGAACTTACCAAGAAAAAAAACCAGCCATCAAATTAATATTAAATTGTGTAGTAAAATTAATTGTTTGTAATGATGTGAATGCGTAACATAAAATTTAACAACACAAAAACTAGCATGTAGACTTCAAGAGGTAACATATAAGTTAAAAACAAGTTTTGGGAATTATGGGTCAAGTAAGCAGGGATCAAGATTCTAAGAAAGGGTGAAATACACAGGATGTGACTCATCTTTGGTGCAATAAGGTCCTTTTGTTAAAAGCAAGATGGAAAATTACATGGCCTTGTAGGCAAATTTAACTATCGGTAAAAATATTTGGAAATTATCGAATCGCCACTCATGTATCACACATAGATTCTAAACCGAAGAGTTTTGATTACCATAATCTCGCCCCCGCAAGGTAGGTAGCCTCGCCCCTCGTTCGGGGTTTCGAGCCTACGTTGAATGTCGAAGACAATCACGGACTTAGGTGTCGTAGCTCAATTTTGACTACAGTTTTTACCACTCCCGTGACTGCTTCATTCAAGGAGGAAATTGTTAGATACAAACAAGAAGTCAGTACATACATCAAACGAATCGGTAATTTCCACATTTAAAATAAAATGATCAAAATTTATATGTCTATTACTTCTCGGATAGGACCAAGTAATCAACACATAAACATAAATTAAGCAAAAATTACACCAAAAACGTAAACGATTACAAACAAAAGAATAACGGTATTATACATATCATTCTGCATTACGGTTAAACCAAGTAAATTTCAAAAACAAAGATTGAAACACAAACAAAATATAAAATGCGGCATACAAAACACAAATACGATATAAAGAAATGCAAAAATTACTACCTGCTTTAAACAACACAAAATAACAACAAACATTTATGGAGCGACGCGTTCACGATTGCCATTCAAGTCAAGATGCCAAACGTAACCAACGTTCGTGCTTCTCCAGATGGCGCAAATCGCTTTCCTCTCCTAAAAATTGCGTGTATCGTCGTAAGTTGTATATGTGGAACCTTTTCGAGGGAGAATCTTTTGGGAGCAGATATTCCGGGGCGAGTTTTCTTGTGGCCTAAAATTCTGCAGCCCAGATTTCTTGGAGCCAAATCTTCCGCGAGTTTTGAGGGCGACTCTTCTGGAAGCAAATTTTCCGAGAGCAAATCTTCCGGGGACGAATTTACCAGGGCAATTATTCCGGAACGAATTTGCCACACACGACGGAAACACATATGAAAGCTTGAAATTGTAATAATGTAGGTAATAGAGGGGAGAAACAAATGGTTTTTCAGTTACGTGATTAATGAACAAAGGATATAAAATTAAAGAAAATTAGTTAAAGGAATTGAAATTTGTGTATACAGGTTGTTCCTAAATATGATGTATTACATAAGAAAGGGGCTATAATACTCTGCCTTATTTTATTACTAAAATTTCATACAAACATAGGTCCCCAAACGCTTCGTTACCGTCTTACCGATCGACAGTATGTTATCGTTAGCGTACAGTTTACAATTTGAACCATTAATTTATAAACATATGTAAACACGAGATACAATTTCAAATGCAAACTGTCAAAACTAATAAAAACAAAAGATAATTTAAATGAAGCCAAGAGGCCAACTGGACCATTTTAAAGATCCATTTTTAATTTTTCTCAATAACGGTCGCAGATACGACAAAATTACAGACCAAACAGCTTTTGGACAAACCAGAACCTCAATTTCTTATTTTACAATCAAGCAACATGCTCTTGGAAAACCAACACCCTGTAGATTCTCATTACCATTGACATGAGCAATGATATAAGCCATTCAGCGTAACTTACATTTCAAATGTGGGCAAAATATCTCAAAAACTACAAGATATAAAGAAAAAACTTAAAAAATCGTGAAATTAGAAGTTATTATATAGGCATAACATAAGTCAAAGAATCAGTCCATTTCGTATATACATCATATTTAAGAACACCCTGTATAATAACCCAAGAAAATCTAACACGAATTGGCACTACAGGCCAACCTTTTCCTACAATTTTGACAAATTATCCTGCGAGTTTTCTAAAACCAAATATTGAGTACACAGACGTGAATTGATTATAAAGTGGGCAATTGGGTTGTTAGATAGGAGATAGGACTGAAACAATAGATAACTGCCACAATGCACATACATTTATGAACTTATTTACAATCTATAATAATCTATGCCGTGGATATTACATTCGCAGCAAGGATCTTGTCAACGGTTCTTTGTGTGTTGGGTTCTCTAAGTAATTATTCTTATCTTAGCCCGTATTTAGTCCGGTTTTTCCGCTGGCAACATGTTATTTTTACTTATTTTACTTATTTATCTTGGAACAAGCTTCTCCTAAATCCCAGATTTTGTGATTGCAGACTCGCGATTCATCAATTTGGTGTGAAACGAATCAGTTGAATGCTTTACGAAAGTCTCTGTACATGAGATGTAAAATAATATTACAGACAAAATCTACCAAACAACAAATGTTTGAAAATTACTTTCAAGTTTCAGGTAAACATAAAGAACCGTTACTTGCCACATTTCCCAAAATATACCCAAGTAATATTTTTATGGCAATAATGCAGTTAAAAAATGCAAAGTTTCTAATCTTAGTAACATAGCTATATCACAGATATACGAAATATATCTGTGGCTATATCCTGATCAAAATATTATCTGATTATGCTTTTTTTTACTGCCGGTCAAATATAAACTACAAAGTTGTATAAATTTAATAGCGTCCAGTTCGTGTGATAAATGCTTTATATTCGTTCCAAAATGTAAATCGATCATGCTTGACAAACACGCTGCTAGTGTATACGTACGAAATTAAAAAGATATCTATAATAAGCTATAAGTACTGGTGTTATTATAGTAAATATACATTGAACGTACCTATGTTATTTTGTGAGAATAGCCATCAGTAATGGTGAGTTTTTTTTTAAATATTTTCTTAAGAATTAGGTACAATTCATCAGTAAAAAAGACCTAAATTGACTATTGAAGGCAATGCCGTTTAAATTCGTGAAGCGCGCTTTAGGGAGCCGAGGGGTAATAAATAATAATAAACCTATTAATTAAAAATGAGATTAGAGTTTAGAGTAGTATCTAACCATTCAATGCATGAAATAATTGTCAATAAATATCCACTCTCGAAATTTAAGTAGGTACATGAAGAAACGTAGCGGGTTACTAAAATGTATTTACCTACCTGGCCAGTTGTAGGCAACAAAAATATTTTAAGTTTTCGACATTTCTCAACGAGGTACACAGGAACCGATTAATCTAATCTTTATTCTAATCAGCTAATACAAAACCTTGTGTTGTATACCTACCTATAACCTTATATACATAACAGTTTATATAGCAAAAGATTAGAGATTAGCATATTTCTGGATGTAACTGTGATCAGTCTTTATAGTCCAGTCAAATAAGAAAAAATAAAACATTAATCGGTAAAGATATGAATTTTGGTATACATGTTCATTAGTGTTCCCTATTGGACATACTAAAAGTCCCCGTCAAAATCTGTTGCGCTCGAGGCGCCATCCTGGAAAAAAGGAGCACTTCTTCAGTTTCTTGCCTATATATCGACAACAATTATTGATACGGAAAAATAGTTCAGATAAAAAATATAGTTTATTAAATTGCCCACAAAAAATCATATTAAAATTTTTTTGTATGTCCAATACTTTAGCTATAATCCGACATCGAATAGGGAATCAAGTATCCTGAGCTCTCGAAACAGTCGCGCAGATATTTTTTTACAACTTTTTACAAATCATTAAATTCATTGAAAATTCTACCAGTATTCTTATATATGCGAAGTCGTCGCACTCAAGCTTGGTATGAGACACGTTTAAAGGTTTCTTATAAAACTCTCTCTCAATAGAACTTTCATCTTCAATGTGAGCACTGAGTGTGGACTGGGAGCCTTCAGTGCAGTCCGAACAGGGTCAAGGTTATTCTGAAGGTCTGATAACGATGTCGGTTTTAATATCTCTCACTAACAGGCACGTTATACTTATGCAGATAGGGCGTTCTTCAGCTTCAGAAATCATTTCGTTGCTCCAACACTTTTACACATTTTCGCTTACCTTTTTGAAAAAAAACATGATGTATCATCAAACATTATCTCATTGCTAGAATGCTTTATCGCACGACGATTCTGTTCATTTTTTGGCTCTGTTACAGCTATCGGTGTAGTCATAAAAAAGACGGCCCTCCTTCTATAACTACGATACGGGGCCTAAACGCGTTCTGACGTATTCAACGTGAGATTACAGCTAAAGTACTGGAGATCCAAAAAAAATGTAAATACTCTTTTTTATAGGGAATTTAGTAAACTATATTTTTCATGTAAACTATTTCTTCGTGTCAGTAATAATTGCCGAGAGATGGGCAAAAAACTGGAAAAGTGTACCGTTTTTCCAAGATGGCGTCTCGAGCGCAACAGATTTTGACAGGGACTTTTAGTATGTTCATTAGAAAGTCCCAATAAATGTGTATACCAAAATTCAGATCTTTACCGATTAATGTTTTTATTTGTCCAAAATTGCGCTAATTTGACTGGACTATTACTATGATTTGTAAACTCAGTTTATTTTTATTTTGTTATTTTGCCTTTATTTTTAAGTGGGCGGGGTTTCAGCCAAGGCTGCTAAGGCATTTATACTGTACAGATGATGATTTATTAGCAACATGTCGAGCAACAGGTATAAAACTAAAGCATCTTATAACAACATGGCAAGACAACATATGGCATAGGCACTGTGCACTTTGGAGAAGACGAGCTCCTAAAGCGAGTTCATAACTTTGAACTTTCCGTCCGTCGGTCCGTGCGTCGGTCTGTGTAAATGATAACTCCCGAACGGTGCCCTATTTAAAGTCAATGCCAATTTTGGCCGCTTAACAACACTTTTGCCAGAAACGCTCGAACTCGAACAGGTCAATTTTAGTTTTGAGGAGGCATCTAACTATCTACATAACTTCAAGCTGAGTATGGGGTGAATTTCAGCCCAAAATTTGTAAATGGGTAGGGATAGGAAATGTTGAATAGTTCGATAAGCGTGTTCATTCTGTTCATTTCATATTCGTGATTTTCATGTCCCCAACTGTTCAACTCCCAGATACCAAATTTTGTCGAAATCAGAATTTCTACTGCCGATGTATCCCGCTTTTGAAAAAGGACTGTGCGTTGAATTTTTTTCGTCTGGTTCCACAGAATATGGCCTACTTATTCTTATTCTGTGACTGTTTCCTCGTTGATGTCGAAGTTATTCATGCTCGCTGTGATAAAATTAACATTTTTTATTTGACAAATTTTTGTTAAATGTAGGTAGACACCCTTAGCAGATTATGTAATATTGACGTTTACTGTACTTGTTATGCCACTGTCGGTGAACATGTTCTGACCCGAAAGACCAATTTTCGTGGAATTTTGTTCATTTTCGTTGTCCGGCCAAGAATTGCAGTGGAATTATTTTTTTCGAATTTTCAAAAACTAATTTCAGATTCGTGATTTTTATATTTAAAAACCACCAGAGACCAAATTTCGTCGAAATCAACATTTTTTTGCACCCCTATTTAGGGTGTGCCCTTTTGTGGTACGAATTTTGAAAAATTATTTGTAAAACCGGAAAAGGCATACAGCAAAACCTATGCAAAGACCACCAGTCCCTGTAACTGTTATATGGTTGCTGAGAAAAAAATTAAAGGAGAAATGGAAACTTTACCACTTTTTGGAGGGTGGCTCCTAAACGAATACATGGAGTTAATGAATTGTTTGAGATTTTACAATGCAACTCGGCGGAATGCATTTGTAAACGGCCTAAATGGTTAGTTTTGGTATTCGGAGAGAAATTTCTTAGTAAAGTAGAACCTCTTACCCATCGCTCCTTGTTGCGCGAACGCTGCTGATTATCCTTCCCTCTCCGTCTCACTCGCGACACCCGACTCGGTGAGGTTGGTAGGTTTTTACTTAAATGACCGTAACTTTTGTATTATGAAAAATTCACGGTAATGTTATAGAAAATAAAATAATCACAATGCTTTGGAGCATCGAATGAGCTATCAATATTGGAAATCGATACCGTGAAATAAAAAGTTATGATAGTTCAAAGTGCGCACTTTTCATCTGCTACATCATCTATTTCTATTTACATTATTAAGAAGGAAAAAATAGTTATTTTTTAGTGATTGTATAAACGCTCTATTTTCTTCCCGACACTTGTAATAGGTTTCTTCTATTTATTTTATAATTTTATTTATACTGTTAGTTTATTGGTTTGTACAGAAGTAGGGAATAAATCATTATTATTGTCGGTGTTTCTTGTGAGAACTCAGGTCTAGCCTGGTTAACTAATCGCACGGATTAAAATCAAGTAACGATTAGTGTCTGTGTCTGTGTCTAGTGAAGTTATGTAGGGTTCTAAAGAAAAATAAAAATAATAAAATAAATATTCGCACACTCACATTGGAAATCTAGGGATAGTATGTAATTCATACTTACCAACATAGCTATCAATGGCCACAATAGTCAACGCTATCAGGAAAGAAGAAAACAAAACAAAAATATCATTATAATAATTCCTGTACTTTTATTAAATAGAGTTTATTGTGTAAGTGTTTCTTTGGCTTTGCGTTTGGGTTGTATACGAGTATGTTGTGATAACGTGGTGTGTTTATGTGAAGAAGGAGTTTTGTGTTTTTTAACTGTGCTAGGACATGTAACTTTATTGGGTGGACCTGTCTTTGTAGTGCATGTTGCGTTACTTGTATTTATTGCGTTTGTTTGTTCAGGAAGTTGTGTTTGTGTGGTTGGTTGAGTTAAGGGTGGAAATATTACAGTATGTTGTGTGTCATGTTGTGAGTCTAAAGTGCTGTTTAGGCTTTTGCGTTTGGGTTGAATACTAATGGGTCGTGATAATGTGGTTTGCTTCAAAGGTGAATCTCTGATTGTAGTATATGTTGTATCATTTGTTGTACTTGTTTGTTCGGTAAGTTGTATTTGTGTGTTTGTTTGGGTTAGAGGTGGAGATATTACATTATGTGGTGTACCGTGTTGTGAGCGAGTAGGTACTGTTGTTTACATGTATACGTTGTGGATCATGTGTGTATGTAGTATCTTGTGTTATGTTATTTTAGAAATTTACGAACAATATGGCATGTGTTGATAATGACTGCTTTTTGTAAATGTTTGTATGTGTTTTTGTCTAAACCTAATAGTTGTATTGTGGTGTATTGTCCTTGGTATAACTCCGGTAGCACTAAGGATAATGGGAACTATAACAGTAGATTTCATTCTCCATTGCGTCTTAAGCTCGATAGCTATATCGGTGTATTTACGGTGTTTTTCTGCATGTGTTTTAGTTAAGTTGTTAGTGTTGGGTATGGCAATGTCTATAATACAAATGGATTTTTGTGTTTTATCTATAAGTGTAATATCTGGTCTATTATTGTGGATAGTTTTGTCTGTGAGTAGTGTCCTGTCCCAATATAATTTGTGTGTGTTGTTTTCAAGTATGATCTGTGGCGTGTATTTGTAGTATGGTGTCGTATCTGTTATGAGATTGTGTTTAAGTTATTATTATCATTATCATTATTATTATTATTTCAGACTACAAAAGAAGACCATTCAATTTCATTGCCAGCAGTATACGACAGTTACAGCAGCCTTTTGCAGAAATCAACTTTAGAGAAGAAATTGCCACAATTTATCGCGGCTTTCATAGGTAAGTACGAGATATCCTACATGTATAAAGCTACCGTCTTCAATCTATGTGTTCCATTCAACAGTAGATTCTGTCTAAATGTCTATCTAATACATTTCCACTAGTGCAGTCAAAACTTTACACGTGAATTCTCGAAAACGGAGTGTCGGAAGCTACGAGTATAAAATAAGAGAGAATGTAACGGTGGTGGGATATAGCATAGCGCGCGACGGACGCGCCAACATATTACCTCCTTTGCGCTGGTCAGTTATATTGACTTGACTCTTGACTTATAATAAAACAGAAGAGACGATGCCAGTTTTATTTTATTACGCCACTGCCAATGGTGACGCGTTTCCCCCCACTCTTATAACCTCCTTTTTATCCATTTCCGTCGCGTGCTCTTTTAATGCAAGGTTCTTTCCTCTTATTTTTTACTCCTAGGTCGGAAGTCTGTACCTAGTCAGGTCCCCTTGACACCCATCCAACGGTACCACATTAGATCATTAGTATGTATATGCACAAGTGTTAAAACAGAGAGAACTCACAACATGAAGATAAAGGTTCTTGGTCAGATGCACCTGTCGCACTAAAGAAGAATAATACAGGATGACCGCGAAAAGTATTTACATTGTTCATGGGATTGCACTCAGCCCTGGCGAATAGTGGTGTAAAGGAGCGGTCAATCACCTCTTAAGGAGTGGAGTTTGAACAACACGTGTTTATCAACGATGGTCACTCCTTAGGAAACAACTGACCGCTGCCCCATAACACCATGATTCGCAAGAGCTTATTACAGTCCCCTCAAAGACGTAAATACTTCTCGTGGTGACCCTGTGTGAAAATTATCACGTTTTATGTTTAACTACAGAAAACTACAAACAAGTTAAAAAGCCTTATGCAAACATAAATGACAAGAGCGTATTTTCCTGCTAATAACATTATGCTAGGAGCACCTACCCCCCCCCCCCACGCATATCAAGTGAAATACCTACTTTACTCAGAGTTGGGATGGGTGTAAAGCGCATTTTTTTAACCGAAGTATATAGCTTTTGTTTTGACATCACCAATGGATATATTTCTTGTCTCAATGGCCCTTTGCGAGTACCCTCTTTCGGCAATGCGTTCTTCAGGTATAAGGGAATATACCCGATCACGATAAGAGGTCGAGGAGGAGGGCTATGGTTGGTAGAAATTAATTCCTTCGTTGAGACCTTTCGAGTACCATGATGGGAAAAACTAGTTCCACTCTCCCCTTCCCTCTCCACTCCGTACTTTGATAAGAGGACAAAAAGAAGGGCAGTATAGTTGGTAGAAAACGGTTCCTTTCGTTGAAGCCTTTAATTAGAATACATACAATGAGAGATAAAATAAATTTTTTGCCGAAAATCATACAGGGTGCTCCAACAAAAGTTCTAAAACATAAAATTATAACCGATTCAGGAAAATGTAACAGCCTGTATACTGCGACCAACTATTTTGAAACGGTTGTGCGACAATTCGCGCCCGGACAATTTATTCGCTCCCGGAATTTTCGCGCCTAGAAAAATTCGCTCCCGTAAAATTCTTCGACAGAGCGTTCGTTAATTTTTCTAGTGATTTTTAAAGCGAACTATCAGGGCGTGAATTGTCCTGAAAGCGAATTGTCCGGGTGCGAATTGACCGAGAGCGAATTATCCGAGCGCGAATTATCCGCGCACACCTTTTGATACTCTATTGTAGAGATTCTAAAAAAATTATAGATGTAGGTGTCAAATTTGAAATAATTACCACCGAACGTAAGAGAGAAAACGCAAAATACGAGAAAAAAATTGAAACTTCGCCGCCCTTTATAATGAAAACGAGGCCCTTTAAACCATGCATATATTTGCATTTTTCTCTTACTTTGACGAATGCTACCATCCCCTGAAATATCTGCACGACATTAATTATATATTGCCGTGGCCCTTGAACTTCGGAGCACATACAAAAAATAAATGCAATGTCCCACGTTGGGCGAGCAAATCAAAAATGATGTGTGTAATGGTCCCGGTCAAAGTGAACCATACGCAAAACACCTCAAACCTAACTAATAAGCCCTCTAATTATTAAATCTCTTCCAGTACACATCCATATCCCGGCCCAATAAAATAAATTCAAATTTGACTTTAAATTCCAAATTCAAAGCAAACAATGGTCAAATTCCTTAAACTCTAAACGGATCACTTACCAAATTTTGAAGACACTTGAAATGAACTTTGGGCACAGATCAACAAAATTAATTCTAATCACGCATGAAATATCCATCTGAATTGTTAAATGGGCCGAATAAACACACGATTGGCATGATTTCACATAAACTACAACCACAAGATGAAAGTAACATCAAATCTTACTTAAACAAAAGTGGATTACAATAACGTCGAAATAAGCAAACCCCGCATACACTACAAATTAAACAAAATCAAGAAATCTCAGATTACTTAGAGTTTCCGGTTACAAATTAGAAACGCGCGTCTCTTAATTTTAAAAGGACAGCAACGAAATTGGCAAAAGGCCCCTTCTAAACGCTAACTCCGGTATTTAAACGGACTCTTTTCCTTAAGCAAATCAAAATTTCTTAACCAATTATCCACGCCTGTCAAGTCGAAAAATCAATCAATACCTATGCTTTCTCCGGGCACGTATGTAAACTTTACGCGGAATCTTATATCTTATATAAAATACAACATTTTCTACGAAAACAAACTGTTTTTTTCGATTAAAAGGGATCCTTATCTCCAGATAATTATATCAATCTTTTATAAAAATAAACGAAAAACCCAATAAATGAAATCTGAACTGACACAAACGAATTAACAAAACAAATTCATAACGAAAATTTAAATAAAAATTTTCCTATCCTTAATAATTCTAGGACATTTTATAAAAAAAAAACAAATAAACAATGCTTTATTGGCTACAGGCTAGATACGCAAAATCGTTTTGTGTTTAACCGTAGAGAATCCCACCACATATTTAGAATTTTCTCAATCTCTTTCGAAATTGATCACTCCGGTTGTACGTTCGCGAATTGGGATCATTTATTTACAATTGGGTAATTTAATTCAAATATATGAATCATGTTAATCAAAATTTTAGTAGAATATAAAATAAATACTACTAAATTATTTGAAATTGACATCACTCTATACTCTACGCTAATTTCGTTACCTACATTGCCAATTCACGAACTCCGATCTATAAAGTTGATAAAGAATCCACCTGCAAAATTTCATCGTAATCGGTCCATTCGTTTTCGAGATATCGTGCTAACGGATAGACTGACAGATGGATAGATACCGCAAATTTATGAACTCGCTAGGAACTCATCCACTTTTGCATTATTGTTCTCTTGTTTTAGTTTCTCTAACGGCATTTTCTGCCGGAACATCCATCGGTTGGACGAGTCAGATATCTGAAAAATTGCTCGGAGGAGAGTTAGGATTTACAATCACTAAAAACGAACTTTCATGGATAGCTTCACTGACATCGTTAGGTGCGGCAGTATTTTCAATTTTTGCCGGACCTCTGTGTGACAAATTTGGAAGAAAACCGAGCGCGTTCTTATTCATTGTACCGTCACTCACCGGCTGGACTTTAATTCTTTGGTCAAAATCAATCGGGATGGTATATGCGGGACGATTTTTGACTGGAATGTCCACAGGAGCACTTTGTGTGTTTACAGCCCTATACAACAACGAAATAGCACAAAAAGAAGTGCGCGGTACTTTGGGAAGCTTTCTACAACTAATGATCTCAAGTGGAATACTATTTGACGCAATCGTTGCCAAATTTGTAAATATGAAATTATACACGGCGTTGTGTGGGGGTGTGCCCATGGTTTTTGGGGCGCTATTCGCCTTTATGCCAGAATCGCCAGTCTATTCCGTACAAAAGCGGGACTATGTCGGTGCACGTGCAACACTTATATGGTTAAGGGGAAAAAACTACAACGTCGATCAAGAAATGAAGGAAATCGAACAATACGTACTGGATAAGAACAAGTGTTCGGGGACGAATACCTTGAAAAACTGCATGAAAACACGTGCAAGCAAAATAGCCTGTGTGATCGGTTTTGGGCTAATGATTTTTAAATGTATATGCGGTATTGACGCAATTACGGCTTATACTTCCTACATCTTCACAAATGCCAACATTGGCTTAAACGCTCAATCGGCAACGATCATACTAGCCAGTTTCTCGACGGGCGCTGGAATTTTTCAATCATTGGTGGTAGATAAGTGTGGACGAAGAACTCTGTTAATGCTATCGTCTGGAGCAATGACGGTATGTTTAACTATCGTAGGAATAGTTTTGATGCTGAAAGGCAGATACGCGTTTAGTGAAGAAATATACAAATACATCAATTATTTACCCGTAGTCGCCTTAACTGTGTTTGAAGTGGCATACTCCCTTGGTTTAGGACCAATATCTTGGTTGATGATGGGCGAAGTTTTCCCGCAAGAAATAAAAAGTTTAGCCTCATCTCTTGCTACCTTTGTTTCTTGGATTGTTACCTTTGCAGTTACAGGCCTGTTTATGGTAGTGAATACAGAGTTGGGCGGAGATTTTGCTTTTTTATTATTTGCGGTATGCACTTTAGCAGCGACATTGTTCACATTTTTCTTAGTTCCGGAAACAAAAAACAAAAGTTATCTTGAAATTCAAAGTGCCTTATAAAATATTTGTAGGTTGTAGGTACTTACCTAGTTAGAAAATACGTATTATTTTTTCAGTATTAAGTATTGCGTTTGTAGCATAAGTTACTGTAACTCATCTTTATGTTGTGTCAAATTGGAAGCAGCTCCAAAGGCTGGGAGTTGGTGCGCTTAGATGTACTATGGCGGTACGGTACTTCCACCTATTGCTTGAAATTATGGACAATGTGGAATTCATTATACCTACTCTAATTAAATAAATCTCATTGATGTTGAATGATGGTTTAAATGCGAAATACCCGCGCCGAGTCCAATGCATAGAAACTCAGCCAAAACCAATGTTCAAGTTAAAACACATGTTTCCGCCGCCGACCTTGCGAAAGACTCGCTGTAATGGTTAACACCTTAGACTATGAAAGAATTCCTTTTCTGCGGTTAATACCACAGCAAACGTACTCCATAGCGTCATATTTCTAACCACCAAAGAACTACCAGTTAGAAACAGGAAACAACTACCCAGATATCTCCTCAACGATATCAACCGCCTAAATGACGTTGGTAAATTGCAAAGCGCCCGAGGCACGAGGTGAACACCAAACAAACTCCGTTAAAGATAACAACAAACGCACCCAAAAATCGCCCTGGAACAGGTACGTGGAGAGGACGGTAGGTATAAAAAGGTGATATGTTCGAAATTCCAAACATCCTTACTAAATAATAAGACCCACAGAGCTACAATCGAGAGAACAACAGAGTTGACAGGAGGACCAGGTCCCATTTTCAAGTCAGGATAAGCACGAAATCATCCACTGGCAATCTGGCGAGAGCAGGAGTACTGCAGGGCGGCTATCTACCTCCCATGTTGTTCAACACCTTCAACGTGGCGCGGCGGTTGAATCCGATCGCACTATACCAGACCTTTGAATATAAAATTAGTCGGTAGATCGCTCGTAACACACGTTTAAAATTCCGTCGACTGATTCGGTGACGTCACCGCTCCCTGTTGAATACACAGGCACAGTATATTTTGTGATATTTTATACTGTGACACAGGTCCTACATAGCGCACCTTTCTGCAAATGTATAATAGCCGGTAAGTGTGGGAGCGGTGACGTCACCGCATTCGTAGTAATTATTTAAACCCCTGTAACTATGGTAACTAGGAAACGGGACGTGACACCTTAGACCATATAGTACATGGACTGCTAATTGTAACTAAAATATGGTCAAGGACATCGCCTGGATATGTGAGTTTCAGGGTAAATGAGTCTGTCCGAAGTTGTACGATTAGAAACGATTTGACACTGTCAACCTATAAATTAACAAACGTCAATTGATTAATCGCCTAGATATCCCAAAAAGAGCAAACCTATCTTTATTTGTCGACGTGTAGAAGATAATCAAGGGTATTTAAAGCTTCCCGTACTACGTGGTGACTATAAAAGCTACTCTTTACGCGACCCGAGTGGGTTTACCCTGAGATTCACATACCCACGACTACAGTGCCCTCTATCCGTGACCACCCATTTTGTATTGAAAGCATAGGGCGAATAGCAGTCCATGTACTATATGGTCTAAGCGTGACACTGACACCGGATTTTTTTGTTGCGTTTCTAAGAATATTATCTTTAGTTTCAATGTAGTCACAATTTATGCTTCACTGGGCCTTTAATATTTTAAAAGTAAGTTGGATTGGATTACGCATTGCACTTTGCAAAGCATAAATTTTCGACAATAAAAATTAATATCGTTAAATTTGGCGTTTGTTGAAATTATAGCCTATATTTTGTATAGGAATAGGGCCCCTCTATAATTTGTTTAGCCCCTGGCCTACAGAAACGTTAATCCGGCCCTTGTCCTAATTTTTGCGTCCGAATGTCCGCGTCGCAATGTCTGCGTCCTAATGTCTGCGGTCTATTCCCTTTGAGATCCAATGTCCGCGTCCTAAAGTCTAATATGCCCACCATTCTAACAATTTAATTTAAATTTAGAAATGTATTGCAAATGAAATCAATTCCACCAACCAACTTTTAGTGATAGGGCAGCAAATGATAACTTTCTGGACAAAACATAATTACATAAACTTGCAACAAAAGTTATGACTTCGCTCTTTTTTCGCAAACATTTTTTTTTCAACCCCCCACCCCTATACAATCACCCTTATGCGTTGCCGTAGGGGGTTGAAATTAATCTTAATTTAAATTGCTCGCTATCCACATTCCTCGGTTGAATTTTCAGGTCCGTGGCCAGACTGGAAGTACTCGAGACCCCACATTTCCCGCAAGAGATTATTTCAAAGTTCCCTCTTGGGAAAAATAAAAAAATACTCGTGGGAACTTGAAATTTTGCACACGTGTTCAAGATGACGTAAAAAAAGTTATGACTTCGCTCTTTTTTCCCAAAAACATTTTTTTCAACCCCCCACCCCTATACAACTACCCTTATGCGTTGCCGTAGGGGGTTGAAAATAACTTTAATTTAAATTGCTCGCTCTCCACCTTCCTCGGTTGAATTTTCAGGTCCGTGAGCACACTGGAAGTACTCGAGACCCCACATCTAGTTGAAAGTTCCCGCAGGAGATTATTTCGAAGTTCCCTCTTGGGAAAAATAAAAAAATACTCATGGGAACCTGAAATTTTGCACACGTGTTCAAGATGACGTAAAAAAAGTTATGACGACGCTCTTTTTTCCCAAAAACATTTTTTTCAACCCCCCACCCCTATACAACTACCCTTATGCCGTAGGGGGTTGAAATTTTACATTTGACATTTTGGGGGGTGCAAAGTCTATATACACATTTTGAGACATATCTGATCATCCCTACCATCGTAGACCCAAGAGCCCTACTCTAACCCACAAAGTTCTCGCAAACTTTCCATTTCGTTTCGATATTTCGGCGAGTAAACGTGCGAGTTTTATTATATTGTGGCACGTAAATGAGCATTCTGCTTTTTAATTTTGTAATAACAGTTCCTCAAGGTCTATCGCTGACATACGAATAAAATTTTTAAATTGTTGGGATTAATTTTCCGATTCAATTTCAATTTCAATTTCATTTATTATTTACCACGTTACATGTCTGGTAGATGTGTTTGTGGCACGTCAAGCATAACATATAAAAGTAACATACAAAGTAACATACAACATAAATATACAGTATACGATAAAATTATTTTACATTTAACATATATACATAAATAATATTTTAGGTAGGTACATAGGTACATGTAAGCGTACAAAGTTTATACTATGTCTCTCGGTGATATTTGTGTGCTTAAAAATTCATTGACTGAATATAACGCTTTGCTGGTAAGGAAACGCTTAACTTTGATTTTAAATTTTCTATTGTCGAGTGCTTTGATATTATCAGGTAGGTGGTTGTAGAGTTTCAAGTTCACTCCATTCTCATCAGCTCATCAATTAATTTATGGTAGGCCCCATACTTTTCTCTTCTTGAAATCCATTCTCTCACCCACACATCTTTTGTGTTTCACATTATTACTGCCGCCGCGGCCCGCGGCAACACAATGATGTCCTATTGGCGCCATAACGTGAGATAAGTTTTCGAAAACAGCTGCTAGGTATCAACCATGGTGTATAATACACCATGGTATCAACTGACTAGCTAAAAGTCCTGCTAGTGTAAACAGTACGTTTTGTGAGAACTTGCGACAGCAATGGCTCACCCAACTTGCCCGACAGTTTATCGCGACACTTATTACGCACATAAATACATGTGGAAGTTTCTCCCGCGAGATTGTCGTAAATTGCAAGTCTATCTGCGCCTTAAGAAGTTAACGCGAGATAGGAAAAAATTATAGCTTGGTTTATAATGACTTATCTGGTAGAATATGTTAATTTATTTTCTGTACACCATGATGGTAGAAGGGTTTTGAATTTTTGATTATAATAAATAATAACGTTACAATTCTTGTTGTTGGTTTAGTTCATCGCAATTTGGGCGAATGCCACCGAAACATGTCTGAGCTTCTACAATCCGTCTGATTGAAGTGGGTGGAACTATGTGAATGAGAAGTTTAGAATCAAATGGTTTGAAGGATCAGTATCCTATCGCTATCTCTGTTCGTTATGCTCTCGCGCGCTTATCTCTCACACGCTCGCACTCGATGGGATTTACTATACCTAAATTTTTTAACTTCTAAGACGTCTGCCACTATTAAAGTTATACTTAATATCGTCTACTAGGATATTTTTAAAGTAGTGACAAAAAGACGAATTTTTTATGTATAATTTTTATTCGGTTCTCATGGTTTACCTAGTTCAGGTGTGTTTTTCCCTACATTAAAGGGCGTCAGTCACCACCAACACTGCACTTGAAATCGTCTGCCATAGCATATTTGAAAACTATGGGAAAAATGGTATTTCTTGATATAAATCTTTTCCGTGATCCTTATAGGTTAGTAATTTAGTTGATCACCTAAAGAAGTCACTTATTCAGCGCCGCCCCAAGTTAATGCTGCCTGCCACTTACGACTGATTTTATTACTAGTTTTCAACGTACTTTCAGCCTGAATTGTCGAATATTTTGTCGGTTATGGTTTAGTTACTATGTACGCTGCCTCCCAGTCTATCATAAATACCAAAAAATACACACCCTTTTTTTCAAATAGTTTAAAATTTATGGAATCGGTTGCATTACTCAATTTAAGGGCTGTAAGTGATTTACGATCATATCTAATCACGATGTAATCTGGTACCGAAATGGACAATCATCTAAATCAGGGGTCTCCAAACTCTTTAACCTTAAGACCGCAATAATTGCTCCTCTAATGTATTTTCAACCGTATTCTTAAACTATCTGCAATCATTCTCGCAGACCTCAAGTTATAGTGAAATGGTATTGCTAGTTCTTGTTGTCTATATAAACTATTATTTTTTGTATTCCTTCAACCTGGTTAGTGGTTAAATAAGTGGGCCCCATTGATAGGAATGATTTAGACAAAAATCCTGAATGGGGAAACTTCTTTTTTAAAGTTACTGTAATCTACAGAAATTCTATGGTACCCCTAAAATACCAATTTTACCAAAATTTATCAAATGATGGAAAATATTTGAGATAATCTACCCATGTGTACATTTTCACTGCGGAAAATTTTCTATTTACTAGGTTAGTCTTATAGAGAATCACAAAAATAATAAGATACATTTAAGATTCAAATAATTTATTTACAACTCATTTAAATAATTGCTTAAACAATGTACAAAGTAATAGATAAGCTTAGAATTTTTGAGCTCTGTTCAGACTACTTGAGGTAGCAGTACTTAGGTACTTCAGAACAGCTTTTGATTTTTAATATTCATATTAATATCACATATAGTGAATCAATATAATAACGTTAACAGAAATATCAATAGCTAATTATTAGCAATTTGATAATATTTTCCAAGATGTGAAGATGACTATCTGTAATCTAAAAACAAAAACATGTTCATTAAAAGATTGTTTACAAAAAAAATGTATCAAATAATGTGAGATTTAGCTTTTTCAGGCTTACATTATTAATGATACATTAGAAATGCAAACAAAATGCATAGATAAAAACGTACTGAACTTTTTTAAGTAGCAAAAAAATTAAAAACAGCATAAATGAAATTGAACTGGGAGGCGATTTGAAGAGTATCTTCAAGAAAAAGTTTATCTTGCTTTATTTGTAAAAATTTGAACGCCTAAATATTGCATATCCATGCGCGCATTCATATGATAATTTAAGTCAATTGCTGTACATCCTTATATCGTTTGAATTGTCGTCGTTTATTAATATAATTGTAATGATATAATATAATATAATTATATAAATATAATATAATCATAAACCGTTATTGGTGAATGTGTGCACATTTTTTCTTAATCAAAGTAAAGCAGATGCAAATACATAAAAAAATAATGCCTTTTGTTTAGGGATTGTACCTTATTGAATTTGTCTAAAAAATTATGTAAGTTACTCTTCAAAACATAACCTCCTTGAATTTTTGGAAGTAAAAAAATGGTTAGATTAGCAGTTAAGTCTAAAAAATAAACTAATCAAAAATACAACCTGCAATGTATCGGTGCCTCTTAGTGTCTGTTTGATCTCTTACCCCTGCTGCTACTACGAGATCGTAACCTACGCCTGTGACGCACTTCTGGACTGTAAGAAGTTGATTTACGCCGGGAATGAGCTTTGCTACTCTGTATTGTACTTCTAGAACCCGAACGGGATCTTCGTGACCTTTCTGAACGAGAATGAGATCTCGACCGGTGGCTACGCTCAGACCGACTATGGGATCTAGAACGCCTGCTTCTGGAGCTAGATCTATGTGATCTAGTGTATGATCTGGAGCGGTTCGAATCCGTACTAGATTTTGACCGTGATCTCTTAGAGTAATAACTTTTATACATATTATGTCGCGATCTATCTGGCGATCGCGATTTTCTTCTTCTACTATCGGGTGATTTCGATCTCGATTTCCTTGACCTTACGCTGCTTGCTTTGGAATTGGACGATTCCGAATATTTCAATTTTGCATCGGAACTTCTCATTTTACTCTTCCTCTTTTGTTCTGGAGATCGACTTTTATTGCGACTCTTTAAATGCCTAGTTCTTGTTTTCGAGTATTTTGAATTACTTTCGGAACTCGAAGAATTCCTCGATCTATTCATTTTTTTACCTTCCGAACCGGTGTCACTATCGTCTGAAGAACTACTCGACTCCCTACGTGATTTATGACGCTTATACAATTGTTTCGGAGATACTTCTTTGCTCACTTTTGCCTTATAGCCTGCAAAAATGTAATCATTTACTTTCAAACACGATAAAGAGCACAGGAAATTTAGACAATCTTTTCTGGAAACGAGTGTAGTTGTATTACTGACCTTGAAATTTTGCGTCTACCTGTGAGTCACTGCTGTCAGCCTTGGGAGTTCCTGCTCTACTGTCATCGAGATGTTTCTCCGCCGCCGCTAATCTTGCTTCAATTTCTCGTTCCGTTTTTGAGAATTCAGCTTTTTTCCTCTTAATGGCGTCCTTGAAGTGAACTTTAATAGTATACTATTTATTTGGTAAGAGATAACCTGTACCTTTAATTCTGCATCTGAGTTGTTTCTTGAGTGTTCATAATCATCATCACTATTTTCGCTGCTGCTGCCTGAATCGCCGTACATACCCAGTCCTAACAAAAAATGTTATTAGAAGCGTGCTACGTCATATGAGTGATTAATTAAACCAAGGCAATTACAGTCTTGCAATAAGAACCTAAAATATATCGATTTTCTCCGTTAGAATGTCCAATAACAATTGTTCTGTAAATAAAATGATTGCATAACAGAGTGGAGAATAAATGTTAATTAATTTACCGAATGTAGTTGGAGTATAGTTTGAATGATCGTGGAATGATATAATTTCAAAAATGGAAGATGCTTATTGGTGAAAAAAAAATAGTTACCGGTTGTACCATAATAGTTCAACATCAGTTGGGTTGATTGACATACCTAAGAAACTTGATTAGATCTTTTTTTGTATCTTAGCTATTCAAATCTCTAGATTCCATCAGTCATCAGAACCGAGGTGAATGTATCATAGTACACCTGACCCAATGTTATTTGTAACACTCTATACATCAATTTGAAAAAGTGGTACTTTATTCTCTACTACATATCAACCCATAATGCAAAAGAGGTAGTAACTATTAGGACAGTTGCAAATTAATTCACAAACTAATGACGTGATACACATCTTTAGTGAAAACGACTATATTTGAGCAGAAAGCATGCTACTTTGTTCTATAGTATCTTCAATGTAGCTTTGTGGATAACTGATTAGGAATTACCACTTACAAATAATTTTTTCTAGGTACAATCGATACCCAAAGTAAACTTTTGCGCTCGTATTTGACAACGCAAACGTAATCTTTTTCGAGGAATGTCAGTTTGTCGCTTAAATAAAAAAAAACGCTGGCTCTCCCAATTATTAACTATAAATCAAATATGCATTGCTCAGAGTATCCAATGACAACCAGCAAAAGACATCTTTCATTTGAGAGAAAAATTTAAATTTTTGGAAATATGTGAACTGCTCGATTAGATTGTAGACAAAATCTTGTGTGTAATTCTAGCGCAAATTGATGCGCTCTTAATACACAAATAGGTATTATGCAACCAAAATAACTTCCTAAAACAAATAAAAGATCTAGCTGTCATTATTAATTTTATTAATTAATTTGAATATTGTTGCCTTGGCTTCCGTATTTTTTTTTCGTTCGTCTACGATGTATTCCATGTCACTGAAGAAAAAGTTGATATTGTCAATTGGTATAGTGCGGGTAACAGTTTAAAGAGAGTAAGAGATTTATTTTCTGTGAAGTGAAAGCAACAACATTCAAATTAATTAATATGACAGCCAGATCTTTATTTGTTATTTTGGTTGCATAAAATTAGGCATTGGAGATATTGTCATTTAAAAGTAGACATAGAGAAAAACATTACACGTAAATCTCTATGTCTACTTCTTAATAAATATTACAGTATATTGATTATAATGGGGTACATATTCACGACATTATTAAAAGTAAAGCGAGCCTTATGCACATCGACTTTTGGCCGTGCGCCGTGATTTTTGATATCTGATGAATAAATGTATCAACTCAGACGTATCGAATTCCAACCTTTCACTAGTGCGCAACACTGAATCGCCACATGCTTTCTATTCAGGGAAAGACCAACGTTGCGCAGACAGACAGACATTCAAAGAGTTAAGAAAAAATTTGTTCTCGTCACTTCTTAACTTAACAAATTGAGTGACAAATGCGCCAGTGGTAGGTGTACGCATACAGCTCTATTTCGTCGCATTTTTCTTTATTTTTTCAATCAAATATATACACAAGGCTTTCTCGAAATCGTCGATCTTGAAGAACACCGCTGTGGGGGTGCAGGCAATTACGCCGTTTATTTACCCCACGGCACGCGCCGTTCTGTTTACGGCATGTTTGAGGAATGCATGGCACCCCGCCGTTCGCGACGCACGGCGAACAGTCGATGTGTGTAAGGCTAGCCTAAATTCTTTAGAACAGCTAACTTTACACTAAAATTTGTACAACAATGATCTCATTATTCACAAAGCTGTGCTGAAAATACTATACCGGGTGAATATTCCCAAACCGAACATAGAGAATTAACATGGGAAAATGGTTTTTTGTAGATAGTTGCTCCCCATGCTAACGTAGAAGATCTATAATGGCACCAATCGAAAGAAGATTTGTTTCCTCATCTAATGATATACGAATTAGTTCCTTTTCAGGTATATTTCTCACTATTTTATCAAAAATTCGGAATAAATCCACTTACCAAAATCATGTTAAGCCATGACTAGTAAGACAAAAAGCAAATTCAAAAGTCAAAATCAATATCAGTTTATTTTATGACAAGTGGCATTAATTTTTTTGTAAAATGCGGTTGACTGAGGAAAAAGTATTTATAATCAACAACGTTTACAGCGGGTACGCGATTATTGTTTTCCGTGCGTTTTAATGAGCGTCTCATTCCGTCTGTGTGAAAACCTTTTTCAATTCTTTAGGAAATTTCCATGGCTTAACATGATTTTGCTAATTGGAGTTATTGCCGAATTTTTGATAAACTAATGAGAAATACACCTGAAAATAAAGTAATTCGTAGATCATTAGATGAGAAAAAAAATCTTCTTTCGATTGGTGTCATTATAAACAATCTTAAGTTAACATGGGTAGCAACGATCTGCAAAAAACGTTTTTCCTATGTTAATTGCCTATGTGCGGTTTTAAAATATTCACCCGGTATAATAAGATACATTGTGACCCACTTGTACACCAGTCCGAGCCAGTGCTTTTGGATATCAAGGGGGGTGACTAGGAACGACTAAGAATCGGCATATTGTTCAACTAAAAATTTAATTCTTGCTTGTGTAGCGGCAATTTTCGCCATTATGGTGTTGTTTTCTCGGATAAAAATTGTTAAACGCCGCTCAGCCTTCGGGAGCGCATTCAATGATTATTCTTGTTTTGCTGTATTTCCTTGTAAATTCTCGTATAGTCGCGATTTTCCCGTTTAGCCGACCGCTACTAGATGCCCCCCTTAAGAAACAAAAGAAATGATATCTCATTGGTGATCAGTAAGGAATCGATACTACTGAATTCATTGAAGGTCGTTAAGTTCGTTGATGCCCTAGGACTAGTTAGTTTAAGTCCCATAGCAGCCATTTCTATTATTATAACGCATTTTCTAAAGCGACATCAAGGCGCCGTCAAGTCGCATACAAGGATTACTCACCGTCGACAAAGAATGAAATCGAATGCTGAAGTGATAAATAGTGAAATTCGCGCTCGTGTTACAAATGTGAGTACAAATAAGTGATAAATAATTATTAACTGTTATAAATCAATCTATTTAAGGACCGTTATAAATTCATTGTACACAAATAAATCACGTAATTGAATTTACGTCATATTCTCAACCACTAAAATGCATTTCTTAAAATATGATTTATTGCATGGTTAAATGTTAAATATACTATAAATTCACTCACAATTACTTCCTTGAACTCAGCTTCTTTAATATAAAATTAAATTAAAGACTGCAGGGCGTATTGTAGAGGATATAAAAAATGAAATAGTGGTAATAGGGGATCGACTAATAAATCTACCGACTTTCACTGCAATTTTAAGAACTCTACGATATTGAATTCATTAACACTGATGCCTTACTTAAGACACTTTTTGATCTTTTCATACAGTCCTCAAAGTTTGGAACCAGTATAGTGTAAAATCACACATTGCTTTCTGCAAAAATAGTCAGATTTTATGCATACTACCACCACTGCTAATACTTTCCAAAGACAAGCAGTCTAAATTAGCAAACGCATTTCACAGTGAAAAGTGATATGAACAACTCGAGGAAGAACTGTTATGCAAAATTTTGCCATTTAAACTACCTTAAACAAATGTCTCGTTCTCCGTTATTAAAATTTGGGCATTTAAATTATTGTCACGTGAGTGCAGTAGTTGCATTGCATGCGTAAGTGCAACTAACAGCAAAAATGTATTTCGTTTTTCTTCACACTGTGAAAAGCATTATAGTAGCAAATTTTACATTACGACTATGATCATGAAAAAAAATGATGTCACAGATCAGAGTTATTTACAGAAATATACATAAACCGAGACATACACATTACAAATTAGCATAAATCTTCTTTATAATACTGTAAACCATCTTCAGAATGTTTCAAAACTTAAAAACTATAGTAGTGCGTCAAACATTTAACGCAATAGACGGCTTGTTTCATTTTCGATGCTTGTATAGGGTATCTCTGTAATTGTTAGTGCTATAAAAAAAAGTAGTACAGGCGTTATGTCAAACTTAAAGTTGCAAAATTAAAATTTGAAAATATTTGCTCGCTAAAGAGATATGGGGGAAAATCAAAAAATGTCAATTTCAGAATGATCTTGTATTTTCTTAGTTAAGAAAGAAATACAAAAAAAATGTTTATTACAGAAATTTCTTTATATTAATAATTGTTGAATAATGTACGTTTTCAAAATAAGTGCACCCTGTATATAATTCACTCTAAAAAGATAGACATTAAAGTTTCTTTTCAAAAAAAATTAACACAAACAGTTCAAAGAATTCAATATGGATTAAAAAAGATTTTTATTGAATTTTTTGAATTTTTATTTAATCTTTTTTGAAACTAAAGTTTAATATGCTCTCTTTTTACATTAAAATATACAAGGTATTCCCGAGAGTGTTCCATTAAAAAAAATTATGTTAGGTCCAATAACTTTTTTTTACTAGACATCATACACGTTTTTTGAAAACGGCATATCATTTAACAGTCTTTATAAAAGAAACTTTTGTATAAAACACTTATAAAAAATAACAGCCGTAATTTGTAAATTATTCTGCTGTGTTCTCGGCTGTGTTTACACATTCAGAAAGTGCAGTTTTTTGAATTTGTAATCTTTTCTAAAATGCCGATTTCTAACCCAGAAGCATTTAATATGCTGGCGGCGATGGTTCGTGGTCGATTCGGATAACGCAAATAGAAGATATGGGCAGCGATGGTCGCATTTTTAAAATACTCAAAATGTATCGGCAGCATATTAAATGCTTCTTGGTTAGAAATCGGCATTTTAGAAAAGATTACAAATTCAAAAAAATGCACTTTCTGAAGGTAAACACAGCAGAATAATTTACAAATTATGGCTGTTATTATTTTATAATGCATCGTGTTTCATTTGTTTAATTTTCCAAGGCCTACCTAAAAGTGTAGGGTGCTTTTCCAAACAATCTTTCGCGCCATCGACAAATACCGGAAATACGTGAAATAAGATACAATTTAAGCATTTTTATTAATTAATTAATTAATCTCATTTTCCCAATATTTGAGGTTAGGAACGGGATTTTGAAAAACGGTTTTCACTGGCCTCTTTGGATGTTATTTAGCTACTTTTTCATAAAGAAAAAGTCATATCATTCCATTTGTTTTTTTAAGGATTTTGGGTCATAAGTGTCAAAACTAGCCCCCTAGCGAAGAAGGATTCAACTAAATTAACTCTATTTTGGTTAATTCTCATTCCCCAAGGAATGCTCTTTTCAACCATACCAAATTTATTAAAATCGGTCAAACGGTTAAGAAGTTAAAGCAGGTTATTGCAAAAACAATTGAACGCCCCACACCATCTTTGTTTTTGAAACAATTGACTTTTTGTTTTTACGAAAATGGTAGATAACCTGGTTCTCTTTAATAATGTGAAAAATTTTTTTTGCTTATGCAACATTTAAAGAAAATGCAATGTTAAAATTTAAGATGGCAGTTACGCCCTCTTCTGGTCATTTATAAAACTTGAAAATATTTTCCAGCGATTCTTCATGACCAATTTACTAGTGTACTGCTAGTGCGCGCTCATTCATTCACATGCACGGTGTACATTTGAACACAATGTTTTTATTAGGCCAGGGTGACCGGGTCGCGCGACTTGACCGTTACTGCACGAACGCCTTAAAATAAAACCAAAAACCTAAATTTTTCTGTAACTTTAACAGAATATTACAGATGCCACCACCATCCACCAAAGTTTGGCAATATTTATTTTCTACTGCCTGTCATATTAAATAAATTTTCATTGGAGCACTCAACCAGGTAACTAAATTCACTTCACTGTTATTTGTATTCTGGCCCACAAGACCATTTAGTGCACCTTAACATAATCTCTTGAATATTTAGCCTCAAAGAAAACTCGTTCCGCAAAAAACCCGGTCTAAAGCACCTTCCCCTGCAACTAAATTTTCCTAAACATGAATTTTGCTTATGACGAATTTCCTGAGAGAAGAGGACAAATTAATAATGTTTACTAAATTCGTGTGTTTAAGTATTGCGGAAATCTATATATTGAATTAGTGTGATACATTTTCCCTTTGCAAAAGATACCATTACATAAATATAGGCACTTCCTACCGTATCCAATCATTATTACTTTCCCTCATTGGTCGTTTGCAAATCCTATTTATACACGCAGCATGTAACTTGTACAGGGGGTTCTATTAAATTTGTTTCTGTAAATAACCAAAACCTGATACTCATTTTTTGTATTTCAGTATTAAGCATCATACCAAACGAAAAGTTGCTACTATTTTGCTAATTCATTCTACATTTATATTTCTGTGGAAATGTATGACACTCATGGATAACAAAACTAAAATTGTATTGTATTAAATTCTTGAATAAAACACGCCGCTTGATATTTTGTATGTAAAAGTTAACAATGAAACATGCGCAAATGCATAATAAAAAATCTGTACCTAACAGATTAAAATAGAACCATATAGAGTACAGATATAATATATAACAAAAGTCAATATATTATTAAATATGTATAACAAAACACTTTTAATGTGATCACTCTTCAAAATCGTGGATTAAGTGTCCAACACTTAATGCCAAAGAAAGGGCGTCAAGTATGATCCGTATTTCAAGCGCACGCAGAAAAGGAAAGCGTAGACGCAAAAAATAACGGACCAGGAGATATCCAAGGTCGTCTCTTAGGCAACAAGCAAAGGACAGGTAAAGCAGCGCTCGGACGCAAGCACTCTTTCCCCTGCCGTGAAATGGGAGAGATATAAATTGTCACTAAAACCAGGCAACCAAAGCAAGTTACGTTTGCGCCCTTGGGAAAACGGTCGGAAATAGACGGTTCCCGTTAGCACCTTCTATGGGCACTTTTTTTACGCAGAATTTGAATTTGTTATAAGAATTTCCATAACACGCTAGATGTAGAAGTTACTGGGTACTATTTCCTTATTCCTTATGGCCGCCGTATTGAATTTTACGAAATGAGGTAGAGGACAAAAAAGACAAGTACAAAGGTTTTCGCCTAAGGCGAGTAACTTTGGCGCATTTTCCGTGCAGTGATCAGTATTTTCCAAAAGGCCATACGTTTTTCTTTACTAGAAGTATCTCTGGTTTAAATTTCAAAAAAATATCTCTATAAATAAGAAAGTTATCATTGCATATGCGCACACCTAGTGTCTACAGTATGAGATACGTTAACTTTTACTAGAAGTATCTTAAAATTTTAAAGAAATATTTCTATAAATAAGAAAGTTAGAATTTCGCAGCCTGCGCATGCGCACACCTGATTTTTATTATATGCGATATACTTGCTTTTATAAGAAGTATTTTAACATTTCAAACAATTATCTCAATAAATAAACAAGTTAAAAAGGAATCGTAAACGATTTACATAAAGCGCATTTCCACTTGCATTCATTTCCCATTTGTAAGATGCAACTTCTGTTAAAATCGTAAAAATCCGACCACAAATATGAAAGATAGCGTTGCACATGGGCAATCCATTTTTGACGTGCTACTTCAATTTCAGTTTATGAGAAGAATTTCATTTCAATGCTTTTCTAAATAAGAAAGTTGGAACTGCGCATGCGCAAACCTAAATTTTGAAACTAATGTTAGATTTTCCTTTGTTCCAAGCGCCAAAGTATCAAATTTCACTTAAATGCTTCCATAGATAAAAAAAGTTGGCACTGCGCATGGACAAAATAAAATTTTTAAACTGGCGCTAGATTTTCCTTCATTCCAAGCACCTATGTATCAAATTTCATTTAAATGCTTCCATAAATACAAAAGTTGACACTGCGCATGCGCAAAACCAAATTTTGAAACTGGCGTTAGATTTTCCTTTATTCCAAGTGCCTATGTATCACATTTCATTTAAATTCTTCCATAAATAAAAAAGTTGGCACTGTGCATGCGCAAAAACAAATTTTGAAACTGGGATTTTCCTTTATTCCAAGCGCCTTGATTTTCCTTTATTCCAAGCGCCTATGTATCAAATTTCATTCAAATACTTTTATAAGAAAAAAAGTTTGCAATTCGGTTTATAAATGGCCGAGATGCGAAAAGGGCACTGTGAATTTTGAATCGATTCGACTCAACTTTTGGCATTGCGTATTATATGGCTAAGGCTATGCCCATATTGAATTTCATTTCAGTTCATAACTAACGGAGATGTAAAAGCAAAGCAAAAGCAAACAAAATTATTGTGCACACGGACAGATAGAGGGACAGACAGGTACAGGAACAGACGGACAGACCAACAGACAGACGACAGACAACAATACAAAATTATAAATGATCTCTAGGATGGTTAATAAACGGCAAAAGTGTAAAATTATGGAATATGTACAAAACGGTTTGTTGGTTTTTTTACAATAACTTTTTTAGCAATAAACGCAGAAAAAATTCCTTCCTTGGTGCAAGCCTCGACACCATAACGAACCAAATAGCGAAAAAAGTAGAACGATAGCTCTTAAGATAAAGAACTAGTAGCGTCGCAAATGTAGCGGACGGACGGACGGACGGACAGCCGGACGGACGGGTAAAGTGGCCACAACAGCGCATTTTTTTTTTATTTTTGTGGAAATGCGCTAAAAAGGGCATTGCGCAGTCTGCGCATTCCCACATCAATTGTCAAGATTTTTCTTGGTCGAGGTGCCAGAGGTATGTAAGCTATCGAATGAAAAAAAAAAGAACTTAATATCTTCAAAACGTTCACCGACCAGGGCGTCGATTCCCGAAGATCTACTGACCTTGATGTGAACGTGAATATGACTGCATTCTCGAACCTACCACATCGAGCGATAAGTTAATCGAACGCAACAACAGGTCTACAGGACGGATTTTGCAGCTGTTTTGCTAGGGGTTATTCAGTGTCCTAACCTATACATTCACATATTTTCTGTGAAATAAAACATGGAATTGTTCTAGGATTTTCTGGTTATTAATAACAGTACCCATAATGCAAAAACAAAACAAAATACAAAACTGACAAATGACAGTTCAATTCTTGTCTGTGATTGGTTAACGCATAAAGTTTGTCCACGATTCAGGAATGCAGCTAAACTTGAACTTATCTCTATCGTATACGATCGTGACGTCATGGCATCCGGTCACATCACATCCACATCACGGAGCATATCGACTAACTTCGGGAATCGATGCCCAGGGGGCGTCCACAAGCAGGTGTTTTATTCCCACTCCTACGTGCCTAACAATAACTTTTTGACAACAAAGGTTGCTTCAATCAGAGATGTTGATATCGTAATAATAATTGAAGGGAGTTTTGAAGTTCTAATGACAAAACCTCGGAAAAAACTCATAAAAGTATTGGAGAGATAGTACTTGGTAGAAGATCTAAAGATCAATACTGCAAAAGCAGATACAGTACTCTTTACAATGAAAAAGAAAATAGTACCATGCACAAACCTGACGCTATTCAACACCTACATCAGTGGACGCATGAAGTGAAGTGCCTGGAACAAACACTCAACTCCAAATTAAGTTTGAATGCCCACCTGAATAGAACACCCATCAAAATAATGTAACCAATATCATATTTATTTAATAATATATTGACTTTTGTTAAAATATAACCCAAAAAATTACTGCTCAAATAGTTAAAAATTAAGAATGAATCGCTTTGCGCGCGCAACTTACCGAGTTTGCCGCGAGCATTGGTTCCGCTGGGTGCGGATACACGTTGATCTGAAGCTGAAGTTTATTAAATAAACACATTAGCTCCGTTCATCCTGCTAACAATCTCACAAATTCAACGCTTTAAACAATAACTATGTATCGTCATCAAGTTAAATCAATTTTTAACACCACATGAACTGATAATAAATACCTTTGCTTTTCCTTAACTGTCTTTGAAATTCTTCTTTACATACCGCCCGTATTTCTTGATTCGTAACTTTTAATAAAATTTCCGTCATCGTCCGTCGCACCTTCATCATCTTAAACTGTTTGTTATATATTTGTGACTGTTAACATATATATTTACCAATTCTTCTTGTGTTAGTTGTACACTTTCAGTAGAAATGCCCTCAATGTCTCCATTGTCAGCCTCAACAGGTGAATCTTCCCCATCGCTATCCTACAACGGCAGTACTTTACATTATTAAGCACTTGTAATGGCAAGGACTTACAAATTTACTTCTCTCCCTCTCCTTAACTGTAGACTTGATAATTTCCAAAGCTTCTTTTTCATTAAACAATGATTTCTCATTAATCTCTTGCTTCTCCTGCTTTACACGTTCTCTTTCTATTTGCTTCTGTTTGTCTCTTTCCATTTTTTCCAAACCTTCACGGATCCAAGCAGGTAGTTGTTTGCGTTTTGTAGCATCCAACATGACCGGATCAATCGAAGGGGATGAGGTTGTCGGACGCGTGGAAACATTTACTTTGCTGTACCGTTTATTGTGCGGTTTCCCTTTGCTGCCACTTGCAGTCCAATATCCACCAGTATACTCACTGGAACTTCTGTTGTAACTGAAATACAAAGATTGCTCCATGTAAACTACACTTGTGCAAGTCAAAAATTATAATAATAGTAATTGATTTATTCCGCAGCGTACAAAAGAAAGTACATATTTACGTGATTACATCAAATAGAGAATAAGTAACACTACCAGAAAGGTTCAGCAATAAGTTATGCAGGCAACCAAATTCCTGAAAAACTGGTCAATGCCCAAAATTACATTATATTTTAATGGAAAACGTAATGCTCTCCCTTAAAAATACTTTGACTTTAAGCGCAGAGTCCCATGCATTCTGTAACATGAAATTAATAACTAGGGCTAGGATGACGTTAAAAATCAGCGGAAATGTAAAATAACATGGTTAGCCATGGGACAGGACGCAGTGCAGAGCTGCTGAGCAGCCCAGTGTGAAGGGGCACTTACGAGTATTTACTTTGAATTTTGCAAGTATAAGCATATGCTTCTTTTTATTCATACAGGCCATGGTGTATACTTTTTAGAAAAATTTTTTGTTTACATTCTCTGTCAAAGCTCTCCTCTGTTCAATTTCTTTCTAGGAATATCGGTCCAATAATTTGATTTCCAAGAACACCTACGGACTTGTAAAATGGGTACTTACCCATTTGAGCTTAAAAGCAGGAGTAACAGAAGGTAATTTATAGATTAACTTCAAAAACCTAGGTTAGGTCAAAATACCAAGAATAAAAGGCGAGATAAAAGGTAAGTAATTTTATCATAATAAGGAGCGATGAATTTTTTGAGAAAAATGTATAAGCACATACCTTCCGTAATTATTGCTGTTTTCATTCGAATTAGAAAATTGATTGAATGTCGACGGAGTAGGAAGTAAAGGCGCCTTTGAAGCACTGGCAACTGGCGAAGGAACTGATGAAGCATTCGACCAAGTATTATTCCATCCCCAACTTTGTTGTTGATTCCATTCCCACGATTCTGTTGAATTATTTTCATTCCAATTAGGTTTCTGAGCATCATCGTCTTTTTCGACTTCCATAGGCGCTTCACCTCCTTCAAAAGCATTTTCTTTCGTAACTGAGTTGATCTTTGGTGGTGGAGGAGGCGTTAGCAGTTGCTCGGGAACTGGCGGACCGACTTCTTTCATAATAATCCATTGTTGGGCTAAGGCAGCCCAATCTATTTGATCGTTTGGTGTATTTTGGTATGCTGCTGGATTTAAGGGCCACTGCTGCTGGTTGTTATAACTTTGCGAACTTGGCGAATCGCTTGTTGAGTACATCTTCAATTAATTCACTCAACGCTCTAAAAACCGGTAGTTTCGATCTTTTTACACAAAATAGCACCGAAATTAGCTTCTATCTATCCGACACAAAATGACATTTGTGATTTGACAATGACAATGGCGTTTCGTTGTTTTCGATTCGTTTACCCCTAAGGCCGCGTGTACATTGGCGACAGAGACTTGTTTTACCTAGACCGCGCATACAATGCTACTCGCGTATAAAAGAGTGATGCCAACATGTTTAGGCAACACATCATACTCGTAATGGCAAAGCGCGAACTAGTTTAGCAAGATCCTACATATAACCAGTCGAAATAACTACAATTATTGCATAAAAATTTTATTCAATGGTAAAATGAAATGTGCTTATCGATATAAAAATGTTTATTGGCTTTTAAACAATACTCATTTGTTGTATAAATGTCTAATTCTCACATCTGCTTCGTTTATTTTCTTATTTTCGTAATGAATACGTGTTGTAAAGA